CTATACGCTTGGGCCTGCCAGGCCTGGCCAGCCTCCTCTCCAACCAGCAGAGCCAACCCACCACCAGGTAGTGATCAGTTGACAGCTCCGCCCCTCTCTTCACCCGAGTGTCCAAGACATGCGGCCGCAAGTCCGATGACACGACTACAAGGTCGATCATTGAACTGCGGCCTAGGGTGTCCTGGTGCCAAGTGCACATATGAACACCCTTATGCCTGAACATGGTGTTCATTATGGACAGTCCGTGGTGTGCACAGAAGTCCAACAACAGAACACCACTCGGGTTCAAATCGGGGGGGCCGTTCCTCCCAATCACCCCACTCCAGGTCTCACTGTCATTGCCCACGTGGGCATTGAAGTCCTCCAGCAGAACAAGAGAGTCCCCGGGGGGAGCGCTCTCCAACACCCCTTCCAAGGACTCCAAAAAGGGTGGGTATTCTGAACTGCCGTTTGGCGCATAAGCGCAAACAACAGTCAGGACCCGTCCCCCCACTCGAAGGCGAATGGAGGCTACCCTCTCGTCTACTGCGGTAAACCCCAATGTACAGGCGCCCAGCCAGGGAGCAATAAGTATGCCCACCCCAGCTCGGCGCCTCTCCCCGTGAGCAACTCCAGAGTGGAAGAGTCCAACCCCCTTCGAGGAGACTGGTTCCAGAGCCCAAGCCGTGCGTCGAGGCGAGCCCAACTATATCTAGTCGGAACCTCGCAGCCTCGCGCACCAACTCAGGCTCCTTCCCCACCAGAGAGGTGACATTCCATGTCCCTAGAGCTAGCTTTTGCAGCCGAGGATCGGACCGCCAAGGTCCCCGCCTTTGGCCACTGCCCAGCTCACAACGCACCCGACCCCTATGACCCCTCCTACAGGTGGTGAGCCCATTGGAGGAAGCACATGTAACACTTTGGGATAAATGTTTTTTTATTTTAGGTGAAATATTTTTAAATGTCAAAGCATGTCAGGCTACCCCGAAAGTGGCTGAGAGGCCTCAGACTCTAGAGGGTTCAACTGGATTTCAGGAAGCACTTCTTTACACAGCGTGTAGTTAGAATATGGAATAGTCTTCCTGCTAGTGTAGCGCAAGCTAAAACCCTGGGTTCCTTTAAATCAGAGCTAGATAAGATTTTAACAACTCTGAGCTATTAGTTAAGTTCTCCTCAAACGAGTTTGATGGGCCGAATGGCCTCCTCTCGTTTGTAAATTTCTTATGTTCTTAAGTGTGCGCGTATGACGGCAATGAGCGGAGAGGATCAATCCTGCTAATGTTGTGGAGAGACATGCCGGCATCATGGTGTGGGGAGCCATAGGGTATGACTTCAGGTCATCTCTGTTAGTGATTCTGGGGACCCTGACGGCACAGCGCTACGTCAGTGACGTCCTACGTCTGTGTGTCTTACCGCTACTGAGACAGCACCCTGGTACAATCTTTCAACAAGACAACATCCATCCACACACAGCACGTGTGGCTACGAACTGCCTGCGTCATGTTGAGGTCCTCCCATGGCCAGCCAGGTCCCCCGATCGTTCACCAATTGAACATGTGTGGGATCAGCTCAGACGCCAACTGAGACCCAGTGCCAATCTGCAGGATCTCAAGGGCCATTATAATTATAATCGTTGTGAAACAGTCACATGATTTTTCTCCACATGCAAATTAATTTCATTTCCACTTCTCTGTCTGGGTGCTCAACTTTTTTTGTCACTGAGTATATTTATAAAGACAAGTTTTTACAGTTGCGATAAAAATTCGAAAAAAAGTGACATTTTGTAATTTACAAAGTTACTGCTTAGGCAAATTCGCAGTTATCCATGAATTGAAGTGACGTATTTTTACCACATTACCTCAGTGAAAACTCTCTAACATCACAAAATAAAATGTTGCAGCTCCTCAGAACCCAGACGTGCTGTTGTTTATGGGTGTTTTCACGAGTTTATCATATCATTATCATATGAATAGCGCTATTTGGAAATGGGTGGGCGATCAGCGCTGCTCCGAGACTCCGACACTGGAGTCAGTCGCTCTTGTTCTTTTTATTCTCCTTACAAAGCTCTAAAAATACATTTAGTTTCTACTAGGGGTGTAAATCACAGCTTTCCTCGCGATACGATACAATATCGATTCCTTAAGCCAACGGTTCGATTTTTTTTTTGATACCTCAGAAATTCCCTCAATATGATACGATACGATACGATACGATATGATACGATTCGATTCATTTCGATACTGGGGATAGTAGTCGAAATTATGAAATTTCACGCAATCCTTTACATTTCAATGAATTTAAAAAAGGCAAATATAATTATCATTTAATCATATTTTATTGGGAACTGTAAACAAAATCTAGTGTAGTCAAGTATGTCCCATAAATCAAGCAAAAAATAATAATAAGGTAAAAATAAAAACTTTGGATGGATGAGGATTAACATGGTGAATAACTTTTATTTTGAATAAAGTCTTCTCCAGATAAATACAAAAGTGTAACAAAAAGTATAAAAGTATGCCCATAACCCCCCCCCCCCCCCGGATTTCCGTCTGCCTGATCCAGATTCTTCGTTCCCTGCTCGCTCGCCCTATGCTGGGATACAACAATTACAAGTAAAATAAAGTGCAATAAAGTCAAATAAAAAACACTGCATGGACAGACATGTAGAATGAGGGAGATCAACAGACTGACAGACTGACTTCTGCAGTGAAACAAGTATGTCAGTGTTCTTCATTGAGAGTTTTTTTATTTTTTATTTTTTTAAAGGAAAAATTAAATGGTCAACGTGTTCAGGAGATTGTGTCCTCTGAGCATAGTGTCCTATGTCACCTGCCGTACTAAACACACGCTCTGAAGGTACGCTAGCTTGCGAGCTACTTATAAATGACCAAGTCAAAATGATCTACCTACTATAAAAATGCAAAACATATATTTATGTATAAAATATTGAGTATTCTTTAATATTTATTATTATTATTATAAATTTCCCTTTGGGATGAATAAAGTATTTTTGAATTGAACTGAGATTTTAGTTCCTTCACCTTTCTCTTTCTCAGCTCGCTTTTCGGAGGGAAGTTAATGTCGTAGTTTTTATGAAATCTGAAAATGCCGCTCCACATTTCCCTTCTTCGGAATAGCAACGGTAGACTGACAGATCAGGCAAACGCACTTCGAATATGACATGGTGGAAAAAAAACAGTCCTCCTCCCATTCCGTATGGAAGTGGCAGGTTTTTGACGACTTACTTGGTCCAGCTCCCCCATTCATTTTTATACCCTTTCTTAAGTTTAGTAGAAATAAATTGGAGGCTAACTAGGGGACTCGGTAGCTTGCAGCAGCTGGTGTGTTTGAACGCGTCATCCATCCTCTATTTTTTATTCCATACGATCTACACACACTACCTTTGCAATCGACCAGTAGGTTGCGATCGACATATTGGGCGTAGACCATGTATACGTCGGAGTGGATCATGAAAACAATACTGGAACAGGCGAGAAAATAAATACGCATGTTTCGATATTTATGCGGTCACATCGATGCATCGGATCGTTTGCTGTTGAATCGATAAATCGATACAAATCGAATGTATTGTTACACCCCTAGTTTCTACCAATATTTATATGAAAAGCAGACCATTCAAGGTTTCTGGGGGTGTTTTTTAAACGTTTCAATGACAAAAACTAGCAGAGTTTTCAAAATGGTTTTGCAAAATTTCTGTTTTATACTGTGGCATAGCCAATTCCAGAGGGTTAAATACATTAGAATTGGAAAATAGATATTTTTACTTAAAATTTGATAAATAGTAATGTGTTCTTCAAAACTAAAACAGAAGGTTTAAAAGTATTTAATTAGTAATAAGTATTCAATTACTTCTTTAGTTTGTCTCTTTTGGATTACCATGTTGTTGTTTTTTTGGGAGAGATTGATCTTGCAGGCAACTCTGACAGAAAAAACGATACAGCACAAATGTGTAGGTTCAGGGGGCAATCAGGTGAACTCCCCAGGTATACACCTGAACACCAATCCCTCCATCATTCGAACTGTGGCGACTGCTTTACTCACAAAAACCCTTCAGACTGATCTTTTTTTCCCTCTGAAAAGTAGTTTGAGGAGCCATCACCTAGTCACATGCAAATATCTCAAGCATCCTGAAGAGAGCTGTGCACTGCTGAATCATAAACAGGATGACAGTCCGGATACATATGCAGCTTTTTCTTTCAGCAGCTGCGCACAGATTTGCATTTTCAGACTCTTAGGTTCTGCCGTGCAGCATGACCAATCATCCACACTCGCTTTCAAGGGGTGTCCCAGTGCGCAGAAGAGTGGTACCCTAACATAACATGATGTGTCCTGGGTGGAGTGGCCGTGAGATTTGATACTTCCTGCCCTCCTGGTGTGCTGTCAGCGGACACTTTGGTGATGAAGCCACACGTTTGTGTTGTCACAGACCATTGGCTATTTAATATCCAGGCCTCGCTGGATGCCCTGATGCAGTTGGCACTAACTGGAGGATTAGTGCACCATTCAGTGTAGACAGTCATTCAGTGCGGCTAACCACCAAGTATGGGGTAAGTCCCAAAGAGCCTGTGTTTTATAGCCTTGTACTGATGCTTTTTCGTCTTCCCTCATAGCAAATCCCAGATGTGTCCCCAACTGGCCGTTGGACCACCCTGGTGCCCCTCCTTTTCATACTAGTGGTGGCAGCCGTCAAGGAGGTCATTGAAGACCTGGTAAGGTGCAATCTACCTTTTTGTTGTCCAGAAGTGTTCTGGTAATGTATAGATGTGTTAGAGGTGGAGCCGGAAAAGCCCTTTTTGTCACATGCAACTGGAAGATGTTTTCCCAGCTCAGGTGTCATGTGTTTATTGATGTCTAGCATTACCCTTGGCCTAATCCAATCCAAGCTTACTTGATTTCAGGCTGCTCTTTAACTTGAGCTTTGCTTCTGCAGTGTCCAGCATCAGTCATCCTTGGGAAAGTCTTGCGATACAGAAAGTCGCTATAACACATGACCGGTTCTGTCAGTCTCGTGTCCCCAGCCAGTTTTTTGGTTTATTTGTGGAAGATGGATGAGTTGCATCGCCCCACCAAAAGTGCTTGTCCGTCATGCAAACTTGTAAGGCCGGTGTGACAGGCGGTGAGAAAACTGAGTGACAGATTTTCAGTCTGCCCAGAGTGTCAATGCAGGGGTCGTCATGTGAGAATGGAGCACGGGTTCAACGGGGAGCTTCTCAGCAGTGTACACGAAGCCAGTGGACCCAACAGCCATTGGTGGATGTGGTCACATGACTGCTGGAGGATAGGGACACAGCGACGCAAATTCAGATACACTCATACCACTTAGTAATGCTTATACTTTTTATTTGAACCAACAGGGGCTTCATCCAGTTTTGGTCAAAGTTTGTACAGTTCTATCATATGGTATCTTTGAATGTGATGTATGGCTCAGCAGATTAGGACTCTACCTGTGGTTGGAAGGTCGGCATTTTGAATCTCATAGTCGGCAGGACAGGTGCATCGCTGGGCCGTTGAGGAAGTCGCTCATCCCCCTGAAAATTTGTCTCACGCCAAACTTTATCACCTGTACATGTGTATGTGTATGTCTCAAAGGAGAGTAAGAGAAGATATGTCACAAGAAACATTCCAATGTGTACTAACCTCTTCACATTCATCAATCTGACATTTTCGCGAGTTGGTGGTTCAGTTACACAGGAATATTTGAGGAGCTTGTCGAAACATTACAGAAACTCACAGATGAAGCATAAGCCAAAGACAATACTGAAAATTATTTGAATTACATAAAATCATATAATATATAAATATTACTGATACATAGTATTTGTTAGTGTAAGTGTGTCCTTTCTTAGCTTGGGTACGCCATCCATTTCGGCAAGGAGCCACACTCACATTAGCTGTCTTTGTGACGTGGAATCTCGCATTTCTCGCAGTAACCTTTAGACTTTTCACTGCGTTTATTTTAATAATGAGTCTAAAATGTATTGCTTTCATTGCGTACAGTAGAACTTTCTACATACAGGCACATAATTTAAGTGGTTTGTATATTGTATAAAAAGGTCTAGATAAGAAATGACTAAGTAATTTAACATACAAAGTGTACTACAGTACAATCCTGTTCACAAACTTTTAGTAAATAGACTTGTGTTATCATTCGTGCTAGCCATTTGTTTTGAGTAGAGCTTAGGGACCAAGGTATTCACAAATTTTCAGATTAACCCATATACTTGTGCAAATGGCAAATACAGCATCATTTCATTTCAAAAGGATTATTGTTACCTAAATATAACTAGTATTAATATCCAAATACTTAAGGAGGGTTCCCACTTTTTATAATACTTACAAAACAAAAAAATCCTGCCTTCATAAGCTCAAGTCAAAAAGATGGATGAATATGGTGATAGACTCACATCTGTCCCCTCACTGCACTGAGGCAATGTGCTCTGCACATGCCAGGAGGAGAGAGTTTCTCATCTTTCAGGTTCTTTTGCGTTACTGCTGTCGCTCTTAAGCAGCGTCCTTCATCCACGAGGTTTGTGATTCGTTGCCGTGGTGAAGGTCAGCAGCAGGTCAGCGCGCACGTAAACACGCCATCCTGTCTGCTGGTGCCTGATGGGTTATGGCGGACATAGTGGTGCCGACTCGGTGTCTGGTAACCAGCACCATCAGGGCTACAGAAAGTACATCTAAGGTGGCTTCGGTTAATGGAAATCATAAGTAGACTCCATCGTCATTGAACAAGCCACTGATTTTTGCAGGTGGAAGCCTTTAATGCAGGTATCCTGAAACTCACTTATCTGTCCGTGTCCCATAGTGCTTTTACAGAAGGCATAGGCAAGCGAAGAGGTTTCAGGGAGTTTGCGATAACAAAGGATGTGCAATGCCTTGTGGGTCGGAAAAGAATGGATACGCGAGGTCAGTTAATCAGTATGATTCCCCCCGCCACTTCTCGCTCGTACAGAAGAGAGGGGGTTCATTTAACTTCCAGGCCTGGGAGAATAACATAATAGTTCTTGAAATTTCAGAAATCCTTACATCCCCCCCACCCCCTGCCTTGCAGAGAAGATGGGCCGCCACATGTTGCCAGCGTTTCATCACTGATACAGGGGGGGTTCACACTCTGCCAAGGAGTTTGGTGGCTGTGTGTGTTTTTACGCAATCTGAGGAGGGGACTGGGGTGGATGGGTGGGTTTCCGTGGCAACGTGTGACTAGAAGCAAGCAGGGAAGCTGCTGCTGGGATGGCATGTTGGCAGGGTTCCTCTTTACTGGGCCCAGTGTCTATGGACCGAAGGCCCAGGCCAGGTCCCTGCTGGGATGCCTCTCTGTCCCAGGCACCAGCTCCAGTGGCCCCAGTGCTCATTGCACTGATGGAAGAAATAAGGCTTCTGAACCCTTAGTGAGTCGGATTTCTTGTCAGATTCTTGGTGTGCCGTCCCTCGCTTGCCGGTTTAATTCACCTCCCTTTGGATAATTTATCATTTCCTGTTGAGTTAAACCGGACATTGATTGACGACCCACTGTAATCCTAGCTACAGCAGGTTATCACACCATGATTCTCCTCCTGTTTTCCCCCAGCTTTCACTTGTTATGATTAAGGCCTTTAGCAGCATGTTAGCCTTTCTGTCTCGGGCCCAGATAGCAGCACATTAGCCGCTCTGCTCCAAGCCCTGTTAGCAGCACGCTAGCAGCTCTGCCCCAAGCCCGGTTAGTGGCACGTTAGCCGCTCTGCCCCAAGCCCGGTTAGCGGCATGTTAGCGACTCTACCCCAAGCCCGGTTAGCGGCACGTTAGCCACTCTGCCACAAGCCCTGTTAGCAACATGTTAGCCACTCTGCTCCAAGCCCTGTTAGCGGCACATTTGCTGCTCTGTCCCAGGCAAGCTGTAAGAATGGCTCATATTGTCCGTGACCTGCAAGAGGGCACGGTGCCACTCCTGTGACTTGCTGCATAGGACTAGGGGTGTGGACACATCTCGATGGCATGGTACGTGCCTCTTATGAATTAGCTATGTAGCGTGGCCAGTCAACAGGCTGCACCCGAGGCAGACAAGCGGAGAGGCAGTCATATGCTCCCTGTACCGCAGGTGCGTGGCTATATTAAATGGAGATGAGAAACCTCGCTTGCTTGGTCATTAATTACTACTGCATTTTTAGCATCGCTTTCATTTTAATGCCCTTTATAAAAGTGTGTCTGTGTGTGTAAGCATACCACGTGTCCTCATTTGACGGCAGCGCCCCAAAACTGGGTATGAGCATTTGTAGTTTTTCATATCTGACTTTTTTAGACATGAATGAAGAATGGACTTTCAGTTTATTTCAGGTTGTTTGCAGAAGGTACAATGATTTTAGTGACCTTTTTCTTGTGCTGCATTTATATCGATTTTTTCCTGCTAGCATACACCATGCTGGTTTTTTATTTTCATTTTCTTTGGTGTGACTTCTGGTCCTGTTTTCTGATGGACTGTCCAGTTTATTGCACTGATTTCATGAAAGGAATAATAGTCTGTTTTTGTCTAACTTTGATAATAAGCCTGTCTCAGCTCACATTTTCAGTTTTTGCACATAAAAATGCTTGACCTTATCCACAGAAAGCAAAATGCAGTGGAGTTCCTTCTTTCCAAGCAGAGATATTGTTGGATCTACCTTTTCAGGGGCCCTAGACAGGGGGAATTTTGCGGATTGGAGGGGGGCAGCATCTACATCAGTAGACTTTACTGGGGCCCCTTCCTCCTGATCAGACCCTAGGTAGGTGCCTGGTTTACCCAGACCCCACCCTGGGTAGAGAAGACAAAATGTCTACATCAGATTCTCAGTTAAAACGTCACCCATTTGCTTAGTTCAGGTACTGCACACCCTTTAGTATTTTCTTACCGTATTTACTTGTTATTGAGTATTTTGCTTTACACTATATTTTACTGTAATCATATTAACTGGGCACCTCACTTTAATTTCCACAATTTCTGTCATTGATTGTGGGATTTTGTTCCGAACCTTTTGAAAAGTTTTTCAAGCTTTATTTTGGCACCTACTTTTTTTGTGGGCTTTTTTGAGATAATTGAGGGTGAAATTGACTAATATTTTTGTTTGAACTGAAATGAAAAATCTTTGAGTTTTTTTTAGTAGTAGGAGCAAGGCATAGGTTTGCAAAAGAGTAAGAATTGCATTTCTGGACAGAGAAACGGTAGGTTGAGTCTGAAATGGTTTGTGCCACTTTATACAGTTTCCTCCAGTGAATGTGCTTACCTGCTGGTAATTACTATACTTAATTACTTGTCTGTATTGTTTTTTTAAGCTTGCCTTGCCACCATCTGGCTTCTTTTTTGTACCCAACTTTTCCTCTGGCCGCCTTTCCAGTCTGGCTCGCATCCAGCTTGCGTACCAGTTTCTCACGCCAGTCGGGGTGTAGATCTCACACTGACTGGACATGCTTTGGCTGGGGAATGTGATTATTGTCGATTTTACATTAATGTTTTTTCTGTTTCCCCAGAAACGTCACAAGGCAGACAGTGTCGTGAACAAGAAGGAAACCCAAGGTAAAACTGCTCCGGTTCACATTTATGCACTGCGGGCAGGTGGCATGGTGGCTGGCACTGTTGCTTCCCACCTCGAAGACTATGAGAAGGATATAGCACCACTGTGCCATCCATGAATTGTATTTCTGAAGCTGACAATAAAAGATAGATTGATTTGGGCATTCAAAGTATGTTTACCTTAAGTGCCGTACCAGAGAGCAAAAAACCTTTCCTGCAATGTTCATGGTATTATATTTTATTATTTCTGTTGTTTTTTTTATTAATGTAAATGCTAACTAATTATAACTAATTGGCTAACCATGCTAATTATTATACATTTATATGACAGTGTGTTTTGTTAGCAATTAAGGGAAGTTAATCTTATAATCTAATTGTATGCATTTGGTAATGGGTGTTTTGTGCCCTTCTCTCTTCTTCCTGAAGTGCTAAGAAATGGAGCCTGGGAAATAGTACACTGGGAAAAGGTATGCAGTCAAGTTTACGCTTTTTTTGGGGGGGGTGGTGGGACTGGTGGGATATCCACCATAAATCCATCTGTAGGCCATTTCATAGCCATGCAGTAATGACATGCCTTTTCATAGGCAGTCAGTCCTCTCATGTCCGCATGAATACAGCAAAGATGAAGCAGGTGACCACAAGTGAAGCACTGCTTCACAAAAAAAGAAATGAAAGGAATTGTAATATTCATATCATATCACATGAAATGTGTTGTTAATGCCAATAATCCCAACAACCATGTGAAACTCAAAAAGTATGTAGATTGAAAAAATGTCTGACAGAGTATTGAGCAAAATAGCACCTTAGCTTGATAATAGGAACTTCAGTGAAGCAAGACGTGTTGTGCCTCTGTAAGCTAGTAGACTTCAATGTGTTTCTCATCATCTTCTGTTTGGTTTTCGATTGGATAGTTATGGAATTTGAAACATTCTTCAAACCCGCCCAGTGAAGCAGTGCTCCATCTAGTGATCTAGTAAAATGTTTAGGGCTATAGTGTCATGCATATTTTAATATTTACTATAATATTTATAGAAGTGGCGGGGTCAGCCTTGAGTTTGCTTCAGTAAGCAGCTGCCATTTGGCGTATTTATTTCTTGTTATTTTTTTATCCCACAATACGCCTTAAGGTCCCGCATATTTGAAATTCATTACATTACCCTCAACATGTCATGCAAACACGCGCACTCCCCATCCTGAGTCACCCCAAGGCACTTTACATGGATGTGTTGTGATGCTTTCCTGCATCATTTGTACAGAATAATACAAAAACAGGGAAAAGGGAAGGAAGAAAGATGACAATGGTGGAGAGGAACCAAAGACTCTCAAGTAGGGAGAGAAAAATCAGTGACAAAGTTCGCACTGTGGCTTCCTGTTGGTGATGTTGCAGGCATGAAATGATTAACCTTGCGAGTGATGCAGAAGCGTTAATTATGAGGTGCGAAGCCCGCTCTCGAGACACTGCCTATTCTTAGCCTGACAGCCCCGTCGAGCCTCGTAAGGGGGGCCGGACCTGACAAGGTGTTCGAGAGGGGTGTCTGCACAGACACTCATCACCGTAAGCTAAGCTGCGGCTAACAGCAGACAGCTGTTCATAGCTATTCATAGAGCTATGCAATTTAGTACCTTATTTGTGTCAAAATATTAGCATTTATTAATGTAAAATATAAATGTATATAATGATTCATACCAATTCTATGATAGACAGCTTTCCAGCCTTTTCACAGTAGTTTAAATAGATCCAGCATCAGCTATTTTTTAAGCTGTTCTGTGGCTGAAAAGCAGAATTAGATTTTTAACCTCACTAATACTGAGTGATCTCTGTGAGCTCTTGTTACAATTCTACTTGAATACGCAGCATTGTTTTTGATCTGTGGCTGTCCCCAGAATGTGTCTGGGACAAAGGTTTTACAGCTTATGATAAGAGCTGGACTGCTGGGTATTAGACTGTTGGTCTCGATAGCACATGAAGATCCCCACTGCTACTGGCCAATTTTCATTTCTCAGCCACGGGTCAGTAAAAAGGACCAATTCTGTGGTTTGATGTTCAGGATATACAGTGTGTGATTGCATGATGTCACCCTGTAATATTAATGCAGCTTTTTTTGTACAGTCATGCGCCGCGTGACAAGGTTTCAGTTAACAGTGGACCACATGTACGATGATGGTCCCATGAGATTAGAATGGAGGTGAACAATTTCTTTCACCTAGTGATGTCATAGCCATTACCCACGTGTTTGTGGTGATGCTGGTGTAAACAAACCTACTGCACTGCCAGGCATATAAACAACTATGCTACTGGTTTGTGTATTAATTATATCATACTTTTTATTGATATTTTAGAGTGAACTCTTTCTACTTACTATCTAGAACAGCTTACTGTAGCCTACCCTATACCATCGGGGTTTGTGTAAGTACACCCTGTGATATTCACACAGCAACACATTCCTCAGAATGTGTCCCCATCGTAGCATAGCACATGACTCTACATGTTTCAGTCGTCTAGCTCTAATGAAGCAAAACATTCCAGTTTCACAACAGAAATGCTCGTTTCGGGAACCCAGTCCTACTAACCAGTAACTAGCTTGCTTCTTTTGCAGGTTGTGGTGGGAGATTTAATTAGAGTTAATGGCAAGGAGTACATACCTGCTGACGCAATCCTGCTGTCGTCCAGGTAGACGGGGAGCTCCCGAGAGTGAGAGCCCCTTCCAAAAGAGTCAGGCTTTTATGGGCTCAAACACAGGCTGTATTACTGGCCTCTGGAGGTGGAAGCCGACATCCCTCTCCACCTTCCCACCAGCCTCCTGAGTGTGTGACAGGCCAAGCAGGGCAAAAATCCTTTCAGATACCTTTCTAAATTATTTGTATTTCCTAGAGCTTTGCAGAATTGACTCCAGTATTCGTTTTCTGACTCAATTTTGGAAATATCTGCAAAAACAAATATCTGTTTCTATAATAGACTTTATACCTGAGTGACTTTTGCATTCTCTGTCCTGTTACTTCATTGAAAGTGCAACGGCCTTAGAGCTAAAATGACTTTGGGAGGATGGTTTTGATAGGTGGTTTTATGATAGGTGGTTTTTCTCCTGATTTCTTTATTTCTGTTTTTAAAATCTGTAGTCCAGTCAGGTCATTTACTGTGGAAATGTCTTCTGCTACCTGACTAAAAGCCACATTTCGTCTCTGTCACAAACCTATCCTGTGGGAGCAGAACACTTAGAGATGCTCTGGTCTTCCTCTTATGAAATGGATTTCTAGTACTTGTAGTACATAAGGACCTTTATTTTTCTGTAGTTTTAAACATGACCGTTTGGTATGTTGGACATGTAGTAGAATGTGTTTTAAATGTTGGAAGAGGAGCCTTGCAGTCAAACACATGCTGAAGGCCGTAGCATGTACCCCTGTAGTATGTGAAGTTCATGACCTGACATGACTGGGTTTTGAAAACGGAGCCTTGATGTTTGCAGTGTTGTCTGTAGTTCACTTTCCTCAGTAGAATGAATTTCTGATTCTCTCTGTCATCTCATCTGCATGTTCTGTCTCTTTTCCTCAACCTTCCTTCTTCCACCCCTCCTCCTCTGCTCTGCTGGCGGTGCCTGGTGACATAGGTGACAGTTGGGGAGATAGTAAAGGCCACCAACGGGGACCATCTTCCAGCAGACCTCGTCATTCTCTCATCCAGGTCAGGAGCTCCACAGCTGGAGCAGTTTTTTTCTCATATGTTCACGAAAGCCAACTGGTCAACCTGAGGCGAGGCCGCCATTCATGGCAAAAAGATCTTATCATTTTACTTCAGCAGTATATGTTTTTGCACATCATGTTTACTTCTTTGGTAGTTAGTGTGAGAGAGCTGCTATTTTTTATGAATTTTCCACACAGGAAAAACAACGTCAGTTTTACTCACTTTTTAAAAACAAATCTAAAATGGATTTTAAAATGGGAATTTAATCTAAAATGAATGTTTTTTTCACAAGCAGTAAGCAGAGAAATACTCATATTTTGTACCACATAGCATCTTCACAGAAAGCACTGTCTGAGCTAGCATGGCTAATGGTGCCCATTCATAACGAGGGCTGTGTAGAATACAAAGAAGCCCTCGTGATTGCATCCTGAAAGATGAATGCGGGTATTTACAGGATCATTGTTTGATCCTCTTCGAAAAGGCTGCATTTCTTCAGCCTCCTTGTCAGTGCCAGGCACGGATAGTGTGTGCCCCTCACCGATGAGTCACGGGAGCCAGACCCCTACTTCGGTCTAACAGCGAGAAGATTTCTCATTGATGCTTGGGGCCAGAGGAGAAACAGGAGGAAACACAGACTGATGAAATGGATGAGAGGAAAACAAATGAGACCCAAAAGCAGTGCTAGGCCGGAGGCGACCCAGAGCTGTGGTTCGGTCACACAGAGCGACCCACCACATTACTAATAACTGGTTAACCCAGAACACACTGTGACGTCTCCTTATGATATAAAGATAGCAGAGGTCCTATTCCTTTCTATTCTGAATCACTGGATTATATAAAGATTATACCATTTATGCACGACACAAACACTGAAAAAATACTAATAGAAATATTAAAAAGACAGCAGTTGAACGAATAGAACTGGAATATAAATTTGGATTAGCAGACAGGTGGTAGTTAGCACGCCGGTTTTACGTTTCAAATGTTCCATCCATGAGATGCATCATTGGTCACAGGGGTAAATTGACATCATAAACCCTCTTCATGACTTTTTGGACTGTCCTGTTTGTCTTGGGCAGCTCCCTTTTGTAGGTCACCTTTATTGATGAGCATGTGCGCTGCTCTTATGTTCTGCTGCTCTTATGTTCTGCTGCTCTTATGTTCTGCTGCTGTCATCCATGCTCGGTTTGTGCAGGGAAATGCGCTTCATTGGCTTGAGGGCAGTAGGCTGAGGTGCTGCAGGCTGTAACAGTCTTTGTATCAGTATGAGAAGGCTGCCACACACACACACACACACACACACACTCTCTCCCCCAGCCTCTCCAGGCTGTGCTGCACAACAGCTTGCCACCTATAGCACTGATATCATGCTCGTCAGCATTTCTGTGCATTTCCATTGTTAAGGACAGCTAAAAGGATCAGAAGCAGAAGTAGTGATGGTGTGACTCTGGTGTGACTGCACTCCAGAGTTAAGGTGGAACTTAAGATGGAGTGAACTGGCCAGAATTTGAACAATTGAATCACTGCAGATTCCATTGATGCTTAGTTGTCTTGGATTATGGTTGTTGGAACCGCAGTTAAGTTTTATAAAATGAATTGAAAGAGCTGAGTGTTAGGTTTACTTTTAGCTGTCCTTGTAGTATCACTATCCATCAACTTTCTTGAGAAGATCAAATTACTCAAGCCAAGTTAAGTATTTTAATTTTAAATTTTCAGTACACATTTTTAAATATTTGATTTCGACAGTAATGGTGGCGATGTTCTAAAGCCGTGGTTGTCAGATGGTGAAGCCTCAGGAGTCGCGTATTTCCTTGGTCATGAAATCACAACCCAAATTTAAGAATCACATAGAAATGGTGAAGTAAAAGTAAATGTAGCACAATGTCTTTGTGCACTGTTAAAAACATAAAACAAACAAAATAGTCCAACATGAGAAAAAAAATTCTAAATCATTTTATTTAACCACGCTACCCAATGGAAATGCTCCTGTTTTGCATCACAACCCACCAGGTGAGAAACAGTGTTCTGAAGTAGCTTTTTGGTGAAGATCTGAAGAGAGTTGATGTGATATCAGCTGCCTGAGTTATGCATGCACCTTTGTGTGTGTGTGTGTGGATGGGTATGTTCCCTACTCTGGTCCTAGTGTGGGGCTGCCTGACTGTCTTCTGATCCTCAGTGAGCCACAAGACATGTGCTACATTGAAACCTCCAACCTCGATGGAGAAACCAACCTTAAAATCAGGCAGGTGGGTCACTGTTTAATGCACAGTTATTTCCAGGTCCTGTTGTGTAACAAAAACAGCTGATGATTTGTAGTAGCTTAATGATACAGTGTGAGGTTTTTAATGGTGCTGGACCAGAACAACATCAGTAATAGTAAGGACATGCCTTTATTAGCAAGGGTATAACTTTGGGTTGAACACTGGGGGTGGGGTTTGAGGTCTCCCCCCATTTTGGGTGGTCCAGGGGGTTGTAATGGTCGGTTTTGATTACTGGGGGTATTACAACCCCCCATCCCCCACATCATTTATTTCCGTGTTTATTAGTATTGGTTTTGTTAAGATGTACAGTGCAGTTCTGCACCATTTAGGAATTCTGGTGGAGAACGGGACAAATACATTGAAAAATTAGGATAAAGGTGAAATTTCAATTACCTCCAGCCCATCCAAGTCTTATATGGGCATAGTAAGGGATGCACTTAAGTAAATTACATTAAATGTAGTAAGTTAAGTAAATTAAATGGGGAAAAATGTCTTATTCATGTCAAGAGTCTGTTTCTGCTTATTTTAATCGATTTCATTAAGGGAGGAAAATGCCACATCAATCTATGACTGGAAGAATCATTGTTTGCATTTATTAGTAATTAAAAAACAATGGGCATTGGAAATTCAAACCTGGCCCCAATAATATTTTCCCTGATTGGAAACAAAATACTTAAAAATGTCTTTAGACCTGCTGTGGCTTGGGTCTTGGTTATAGTGCAAGGTGCACATCCAATTCAGAGAACAGTCCTGCGTGTGAGTGACTCTGGTCACTTGGGCTGGTAACCGGAGCTTTGTAGGGTCTCTGTACAATGGGCTCATTGATCCAAAGCACTTTACGAGATAATGGTGGACTCCAATGAGGCCGCCGCTTGAAAAAGCATCTGCTACCTTTGTTTTCTGGTACTATAGGCCGAGGCCACTCGCTATTGCAAATAAATCATGGCTTTCATGGTAGCACTTTACTTGAAGCTCTCATCTATAATGCACTATAGATGCCGTCATAATGGACTATAATGATCAGTATAAGAATTAATAAACCTTTACAGTGTCTTCTATTGACAGTCATAATGCATTACAGTGTTGATTATAATACTTCATAAGCTCTATAATGTACTATGGATACCTTCATAATGCACTATAATGATCAGTATAAGAATTAAGGATGCTTTGTACTGCATTATGAAGGCATCTGTAGTGCATTATAGATGGAAGCTCCATAAAACATTCATAATGCATAATAAACATGGCAATAATGTGTTATACCTTTTTATAAACATTGATAGCAGTTTTATAATGCTCTATGAATGCATAATAATGTGTTCATAGAATATTATAGATATGGCTTTCAAAGAAATTGTTACCACTTTAATTGTGACTTACTATTCCTTTTTTCTTTGTACTACTAAGTATTAATAAAGAATGCATAAGGATTTGAAAATATGCTGCAGTTTGATGCAAGAAAAGGCTGGATGCACGCCACCAGGCAAAACACAGAGTCTGATTTCCACGACCCGGTGAAGGACGTGGTCCAAGTTCTGTTTCTTGTTGGCGATGTGACATCTGTGATCACTGTTTTACATATCGGCTCTCCTCAGGGCCTGCATATTACGGCAGACATCAAAGACATTGCCAGCCTGACCCGGCTTACCGGCCGAATGGAGTGCGAGAGCCCCAACCGGCATCTCTATGACTTTGTGGGGAACATCCGGCTCGAGGGCTTCAGGTGAGCTGATGGTTTGGACTCCTCACTTAAGCCAAGCAAAATGTTTCGGTCTTTAGTTTGATTTATGGAGTTGTGGGCTAAGAAGTATAGACCATTGCTTAGGAATCTCAGTTGATGGGGTCTTGAATGAAAAACACTAGCGGTCTGTGTTAGTGCTGGCTTTGATGTCACGGACCTGGCCTGGTCGACCTGCATCCTCAGCATTCTACACTAGTGAGCAGGCTGAGTTGAGTTTCCCTGTTGAAGCTAATTTTATCACCCTTTGGGAGGTTTGCTTTTTCTAGAATCTTAAATGAATGTACCGCCGCTTCTTTTTTTCCTTTCTTGTTTACTTTTCTGACCTAATTAGACATGGAGTAGGTTTTCAGAGCTATGATTCATGCAGGCACCCTGGCATTTCATGCAACTTTATCTGTGCTTTTCACAAACGCTTGCTGATGACAGCGAAAGCGCTGCAGTTCTGGCCTTTGTCAGGGAGCAGTACAGTGCAGAACAGGGCAATCATTTCTGCATGCTTGTCTACCCTGCATTTTTGGCCGTGTGATTTTATTTGATGTCATTTTGTTGAACTATTAAGAATGTGTCGGCAAAATTTCCAGGCACAGGAGGGCCCATATTTCCCAGAAGGCATGTCAGATCTTCCAGACATGCTATGATCACCAGACCACGCACATTTCTGTAATCAAAAGGAAATTTGGAAGTGCATTGTTTGCCTTGCCTGTGTCCTGATATCTTTATTCAAAAGTCTGTTATGCTGCCTCACCCTTTCAAAATTGGTCACATTAACTGCTGAGTCCACTTCTGATTTGTCATTACATGGTAATCAAGCTAATGTGTTTCACTGGGAATTTGCTGAGTGAGATATAGCATGAAATATTCATATTGGTAAAGGACGTATCCCACCAGACTGAGACATAGAAGAGAGAGTCTGTGTGGACCTAGTGAGCGAGGCAAGCAGATGTGGAAAATACAGTAGAAATACTCCAGGCTTTACTGTAGTATTAACTCTCCCCCATACGCTTCTATCTGGTGTCTGTTGTAAGGTTGATAGTGGTACTCAAGTTGGTGGCATATTTCTGGTGTTTTATTGATGGTCCACAATTACTCGTTACAGTAATAATATTAATTAACACAGATTCATCCATGCACTGTAAATGTGAGGTATTAATGTGCTTGTAATGAGATGAGGATTCAGCACACTGGCTAGCTCCTCCAGTGCCTGGATCCGCAGGAGAAGGAGCTGTATGTATTCTGATTTCAGCACCGTGCCTCTGGGACCAGACCAAATTCTGCTGAGAGGGGCCCAGTTAAGGAACACGCAATGGGTGCATGGCATCGTGGTCTACACCGGCCATGACACCAAGCTCATGCAGGTAAGTCTCTCCTCCGCCGCAAATCAGGCCATAAGGAGGTCCTAGTACTGATCTGTCCCCAGGGAGATGCAGGCTGGTGAAAATAGTCTGGAGTAAACTGGAAGCCCGGGTGTATTTATGACTGTATTGAAATACAAATATTTTTGGTCCTTTGCAGCCTTTTGTTTTTTTTTCTGTCAGTGATGATAAAAATACCCAGTTTATAACTATTGAATTTTATACAATATGTAGCTGTAAGAACAGTTTTGTCTAGTGTGATGTACAAGTGTATTGTGCATTGTATTTTATTTTACACATTTAGAAAGGGTTAAACATCCAGATTCAATGAAGACCTTTTCCGTCACAGTAATCATTCCTCATTTGCATTCGACATTTGAGGTAGACAAAATTAAGCTAAATAATTAAAGATCCTTTTTCTCTCCTCCTTTTCCCTCCCAGAATTCCACCCGGCCTCCCCTAAAGCTGTCCAACGTGGAGCGTATCACCAACTTCCAGATCCTGGTGCTCTTCGGTTGCCTGCTGGCCATCTCTCTCATCTGCTCCATCGGACAGACCATCTGGAAGGGTAGCCATGGCAACGGCGTCTGGTACATGGACCTCAGCTGTAAGACCCGCCTCGCTCTGTCCCCGCGTCCTCTTCTCTCGCTTTCTGGTGGCTGCCTACTCATTTTCTGATCCCATTGTCGTTGTTGTGGCCTCTGTTTATGTTGCCGTGGTAACATTATTACATATTTAAACGCCACAAGCGATTGAACTTCTAGGGTGTCTGTGTTTTCCTAATGATATGTGCGACCTCGGTGAAATGGTTGACAAAACATCACTATCTTTTAAATTTTTTCTGCTAATGCTTTTGTCTGGCTTGTTTTTCTTTGTTGTATCTAACAGCTCCAGGTAACAACCATTTCAAAGCATCAGCCAACTGTGACCTGCCCCCCCCCTCCCTTTAACTAGCCCCCCATCTGCACCTCTGACTTGCTAAGCAAATGAAGGCACTTATTGGGTTGGCACACATTGTGAGGAGAGGAGAGCGAGGGAGGCACATCAGGACCGTTAAAAAGCCCCCCCCCCCCCCAGCTGTCATGCTGTTCTTCCTGTTTGTTCTCTAACATATTTCCCTCCTACATCTTGCTGATGGCTAAACTCTTTGCAAACCCCAGCCTAATGCCCTGCAGCCGCAAGCCAGCGCACGTGTCTCTCAGAGGGATGTGCTGCTGGTCTGTTGCCTCCCCAACAGATACTGACATTTCCTGAGTTTTTTTTTTTTTTTTTTTTTTAATGCTAAGAATATACCCAGAATGAGCTGCATGAAATTCATCTTGCTGTTTGCCAGGGGTCAAGCAAATGAATTCAAAGCCAGACTGAGGCCTTTGACTCTGTTGACTATTTTTTTTTTTATTATGTCGCGCTTATTTCGACTCTATGAGATCAATAGAGTTGGATTAGGAAGAGAAAAGATCTTTACAGTGCTGAAGCGATGTTTGCAAAACGTTTACCATCTCAAAATAGCCATTACCTTCCTCCCAGTCGGTCCGTAGTGGAGTGATATTCCGTGTCGGATTGATTGTGGCTTGTTTTCTGACCTACATCGTACACCTGGCATGCCTCTGCGGCCTCACGTACCACCCTGCAACAAATCCTCAGCGTCAGATGCAGGTCCGCAGCTTCCTGGGGTGCCACTAGCGCCCAGAAGTCACTTCAGCCAGACGGGGATGGAGTAGATTGCAGTGTTTCCCAATCCGATCCTCGGCTACCCGCAGACAGTCCATGTTTTTAGCAGATATGTGGGCAGAGAGCTGGGAGGGAACAAAAACACGGACCGTCTGTGGGTCCCCAAGGATCGGCTCGGGAAACACTGGATTAGAGTCATAAGTCAGCTCTTCATCTTCAGCGTGACTGTATCTTTAACAGGGGGCACTTTTATCGCACGTTTTCCCTTTGTGTTTTTATAGTGTTTTTCCCTGGCTGTGTGGTTATTTTATTAGTTTTGCAGATCACCTTGCGCAGGATGCTTGGATTGTTGGCTTGCCGTTAGGGGGTACTTAGAAACCCCAGCACTTCCGGAAGAAAAAGCAGGGATATGCAACCTCAGTTCAGTAGCTAACTTCCCAGGCATGGGGCCATTATGCTGGCGGGCATATCAGCACTGAGAATTAGTCACGATTCAAGAGAGGATGTGACAATTCAGATTTATGGTGAATGTGCATTAGCCAATACAGGAATGTTTATTTACGCCCTGTCAATATCCTCGTGCCCAGAGACCTTACGAATGGGATTCTTCCCCCATTCCTTTCAGACAACCTTTCATCATTCCCGTTGGCGTAGTTGGCAGCTCGCCCACTCCGACTGTGTACTGTGTGCCCACCGTCAGCGTACCACACGGTGTGGCACCAGTCTCTTAGCATTAGCCTAGCAAAGATTTCTTATGCGTTTTTTTTTCCTGTATTATTTTTGTTTTCTGAGGCTCTAGGGTGCAACGATGCTCTACCAGGGCAAAGAGGATTAAATCAACAACGTGTAAGAGGTTGAATCGTGCCTCAGACCAAATCTCCCACCAGTCTTGGCGACTTGCAACATTTTGGCAACGTTCTTGTGAAATTGCAACCATGAGTTTGTACCCTCTGCCGCACAGCATTGTGGGAACGTCAGGCCCCTCTGCCGCACAGCATTGTGGGAACATCGTGCCCCTCTGCCGCATAGCATTGTGGGAACATCGTGCACACTATAGGGTTCCAGCTGCTAGCGGCCCCCTGCCCTCTGGCTACCCGTTTCGTAGGTCTTCTCCTCCATTTCTTTGTAGTGTCTTTGAAATGTTCCATCGTCATGCTCTGTGTCATCTGTTCTTCCTTCTGCACCTTCACAATCTTGACCAGTTTAGTAATGGGAGGAGTTCTAGCCCTAGGCGCTCGGGGTTGAGCGATTTCACTCTGGGAGGAGTACTCAGGTAATTTAATTAACTCCAGTCTTTTCCATGCGGGCTTCTTGATGCAGTGAGATCCCGTTATTTATCACATTGGTCCCAGAGGGATTGGGGACTGTCGTTGGCATTTCCGCCTGCTGTGGCATTCACTGCATGAATTGGGATTGCCGTGTTCTTCCTGGTCCTGGTTCAGCACTGTGACAGTGGGTGTAGTTTGGGGCTTGTGGGAGATGGAAGTGTAGCTGCGTGAAGGTCATCCTCACCGCTGACGCTTCTCTTTCCATGCAGTCGGCGGTGCTGCCAACTTTGGCCTCAATTTCCTCACCTTCATCATCCTCTTCAACAACCTGATCCCCATCAGTTTGCTCGTCACCCTAGAAGTGATCAAGTTTATCCAGGCCTATTTCATCAACTGGGTGCGTAGACCGGCTTTGTACACTTGGTATGAACTGGATGCTGCACATTTACAAAGGCATTTAGACCACCAACACATCTGGCCTGTAACATAAAACCAGACTGAAAGTTGTCATTGTTGTGTTTTAATGGAATTGTGAAATTCAGAAATTTTCACAGATTTTTATAATTGTAGCCTTAGATATTGAAAACCCATATACCTCTTGTGTTTTTCCAAGAGAAGTACACTGATTAGTTTCCACTGCCAGATCAAATCACTAATGTAGCCGCACTACTCGCTGGTAAACATTAACATTTCAACATTTCTAATTGTGGTACAGCATTAAGCTGGATGAATAAGCTTAAATGAACCTATGGGGAATTCCTTGCTAATTTCTTTGTCATAACACAAATTACGTCTATCCGCATCTTTATGCACTCCTGACTGCGACGGGACGCTGTTTATCCGTGTCTCCCAATTACCCCAAAGAAGCCGCTCCTCTTGTTCAGTCCCAAGTGCATCGTGGGTAACTAATTGAATTGTGCTATTCTAGTTGCATATATGCACGTTGCAACGATTTATGCGTTGTCGAATCTGCTGGTGAAACAGCTCTGAGTCGCAGGAACTGCGAGCTTCCGTCCAAATCACAGAGTCAGGCCTATGACTCAGGGGAAAGAGGGGCAACAGCGGGATGGGGGGCCACTGCCAGTACCCACACCCCAGCTCCATCCCCAACCCCCCCCCCCACACACACACACACTGCGGAACATTCTGGAAATAGACTCCGCGCTGTCTGCCTGCAGGGACAAAGTGACTAGGCGGCAGCAAGAGACGTGACCAATGCGCCCACGCTGCATGTTGGAATAAAAATAGCCACGCCCCCCCCCCCCCCCCCACCACCTCAGGCCTCTCCGTGTCGTCGTCGTCCCCCCCCCCACACCTCTTGTCTCACGCCTGTCAGCAGCGTCATGCTCCTTTGTCGTATTCTTACCTCATTTACATCTAGATGCCTCTTTAACCTCACCTTCAGCTCAGCTGCATCAAAGATGTGTCCCGGAAAAGCTTATCTGCCCCCACCCCTCCACCCCCCGGCCAGATGGTTTTATTCAAAGTGATTCTCCGCTTAAACGGCTCGGTGTTTCGCCAAAGCTTGTTCATGCTGATGTGTTAGCGAATGCCTCGACAGAAAAGACCGCTTCTGATATCAGTCACGTTCCTCAACCTTCATATCCCCCCGCCCTGATCACCCTGTACTGTACATTACAGTGGGTGGGTAGCTAAGAACTTTACCTCTTGCCGTAAACTGCAGATAATGTGCTGTAACCATGCTGGACACAGTGATGCTTTCCATGAGTTTAATCAATCACTAGTGACCGTGCATCACTATATGCTTTGTAATGCACATTGGATTTTTGTCTCATATTACACAGACATCCGCTTGGTGTCACAAACCCTGTCTCACATCAATGTGTGTAATTTAGCCATTTTTTACACAGAAGGCAGAAAACACCCCTGTGTATGTTATAAGAGATTTAGACTTCAGTAATGGGTGTGCGTGTCTTGGTTTCTGGTCGGCAGGATATGGACATGCACTACGAAGTTACTGACACGCCCGCAATGGCTCGAACCTCCAACCTTAATGAAGAACTAGGGCAGGTAAGATGTTTTCCTTTTCATCAAGCAGTCACAGCGATTGCCTGCCACTTAGTCTCGCTGTTTTCTTTTATATTTCTGACTTAATTGTTGGGGGCACTAGCAGGAGTTGATGCCTAGAAGCCTTACTGCAGTGAGTGGTGAAAAAGCGCAGTAGCGGACGGGATTTCGTAATTGTTCTCGGGGGGGGGGGGGGGAGGATCCTGGACTCTTCTGCGCTGTGTTCCTTACTGCAGCTTGTAATGCAGACAGTTCCCAGGTTAAGGATGTCTGACTTATGGACAGCTTTTACTTACAGATGGACTGCCATAAAGCCTTATATAATGCAAATGTTAGTTAAATATAATGATTCGTAATAACAAACACGCGCACTACTTTGTGACGCTCATGAAAAAATTGTGCAACTTTAGCGGTTCGTCAGTTCGGGGCACAGTACTGTACTGTATTTTTATTATTCATGGATTATTATTACTCTTATATACTGTATTATTATTGCTCAGATTTATCTACAAATTTGACTTAAATACAGAGTTGGGGAACGGATCTCGTGTGTAACTTGCGGACTGCCTGTCTCTTATGGAAAGTTTTGTGTTGCGTAACCCCTTAAGAATTCATCAACAATTGCCATGATTTTGCCTTTTGAGTAATCTCTTTTCCTAAAATTACAAAAACATTTTGGAAAGACGGGGAGTGATAAAGTCTGACAAAGCAGTGTTCTTTACCTTTCAGGTGAAATACATCTTCTCAGACAAAACTGGGACATTGACGTGCAACGTTATGCAGTTCAAGAAGTGCACTGTCGCGGGCATCGCCTATGGGTGAGCAGTACTACATACACGTGCACTTTCAATACTCTGTCTGTCTGTCTGTCGATTACAGCTGCACAATGTGCGATGTTAAAATCAACAATAAATGTCAGGCACATGCAATTGTCATCTTGCAAGGACTGTGATAGTCAGCTGGGTTGACCATCAATAAATTACACTAAAACATTTTTACTCGGTCACAGGAAACAACACTTACCAAGCTTTGCAATTTTAATGATTGTTCCCTTTCAAGATTATCTAGTATATGTTACAAAATCCGTCTAAAGTTTACTGCCGCTGATTTTGCACGAGCTCTGCATGTGCTATCCAGGCCAATCATAATCATTCTCGTCCTTGCTGTTGTAGAACGTGTGGCACATTTGTCAGAATTTTAAACACAAAATTGTTAAAGGAAGAGAAGAAAAGTCAACAAGAACTGGTCACTAAAAGTCATTCAGCGTCTGTTGCAAGGAAATATTTTGGATTCCATATGGATAATACGTGCTGAACAAAAAGCAAGTGATTTGTCGGCACTGCTCACTGCAACACCAGTAACTTATGTGACAGACTGCTGTTTTAATATTTACTGCAAAATTTTGAAATATCACAATGTGAATTTTTTCCAGTATTGTGTCTGTCTATCTGTTTTCCTGTCTGTATGTCCATCTGTGTATCTGTCTGTCTGTCTATCTCCATCCCAGTCACCAGAGTAATTGTGCACACCCCATTAAGTCGTCCCCACAAGCTGGGTGGGGGGTGATATTTTGGTTTGCAAAATCGTGAGGAGCAGCAGTATAACCTATAGCATGTTCTTTGTTGTAATAGTGTAATGAATTTCCCCATATTGTTGCTGGTTGTCCTCTCCCTCTTTTTTTGTTTCTCCAGCTTCTCTAGACACTCTGATCTTTGCCTTCATAACATGCCCAGAATGAGCTTGCTTCAGTATCATTATTATTTGTGGTTGAATGGAACTTCAGGCATGACTTGATAAAGGATTCATTGTTTGTTTCTCCATGATTCCCACAGTATTCCTGAAAGTCTTCACCACTACCTAATGTGTCCTGTTTCTCCATCATCCTGCTTTCACACCCATCAAGAGTCACTGGGAATAATTATTTTGAACTATTTTTCTATTTCTATTTCTAATTTTTTTGACATATATCATCAGGGCTTTTAAAGATTTTTTCATAGGTCTTTATGTTTTTATATATGTTTAAATGTATTTTGTATAGACAGAATATAGATATAATATGCGTACAGGGTAATTTGAGATACTGTAAGGCCTCCAAATAAGAACCATTGTTGTAGATGTTTATATGAGCTTTTTGTTAATCTATCCCATTTGTATTGGAAACATTTCCTTATAAATTGAATGCTGGAGAAAGGAAGCATGGTTTATGATATATAAATGATCTCAATTAATATTGTATAGAGCAGAGGATATTGTGATAGCTAATATGTAGGGTGAGAAGATAATCCATGTATGTCATGGAAGATACTTTGAGCTACTTCAGGTTTTACAAGCTACTTTAAAACTGAAAGGATCCTGTGTTTGGCGAAACAGTTCAGTTCTTCTTGTGCTTTTACTGGTTTGTTTCCTTGATTGAAAGACTCATCCAGCAGTTTCACATTAACATTAGTGACACATGCATGATTACGTGAGACTGACCAATCAGCACCCAGCAAGAACTCAGTGCAATGAAATTCAGGTCCTTTTAATTGAAATGGTAGTTCACAAAACCTGTCCTAGCTCAGTGTCCTCCCTGACATGGATTATCTGATCACCTTATAATATTAAATAGTTGTATGTATAATTTCTGATAGTCGTCCCACCTGCACCGTCTCCTGGCCTCCCCCAGACCTGGGACAGCCACCCCAATTGCCCCCCCGAGAAGGCAGGCCTGCTTGGACTGTTGTGGTTTTTCCTTCCCTGCCAAATCAGAAGTCAGAAGCCACTCGTGTCTATCCAAACTCAGTCTTTATTGCAACAATGAGGTTACAACCAAGGCTGGACACTTACAAGTGTGTCCAATACTGTTTTACACCAATTTTTATACAAGTACTTATCATTTAACAATATCTCGTCACTTGAGCATCATCATTCCTTCAACCATTCACAATCATTGTTTTCTCCCTTGATCCACGCCCCTCGATGTTTGTCCATCATTTCTTTTACTATTTGATCCCTCCGCCGAACATAATTGTGGCGCCACCATCTCTACTTGGTTTTTTAAAGATACTCAGCTGTGTACTTCTGGTGAACTCAGACAAATCCTGTCCCTTCGGTAGCAAACCTTGGCAGCCTCAGCTTGTTGCAGATTGTTTGATTAGAGGGTTGATAATATATTTGTCCTTCAACGTAGTGATAAGCTGCAACACTAATTAAGGGGGATACTCATGCAACCAGGGGTAACATAAAATAGCTAACAGAGACTTGGAGGCTAACATAAGGTGCAGATACATACTCAGTTGATTACATTGTGTTGATTACATTATGATGATTGATTACATTGTAATGATTACATAATGAGTATTTGGCATGCTTTTTGATAATATCATAGTGAGTATGCTCTACGTTGTATAGTGCTATATAATATTCCATAGGACATTACAGAATCTGTTGACTATCAGGAAAAACTGTCCGTGATCCTCAACGGTCATAAAATCCACCAGTCCTCATTCGGCAGCAAAATCTGACAGCAGGCTGATCGGTAATGCTTTTAGCGGAGTGTGGCTAACCAGCTCAGCAGGTTGTTGATAACACTGGCTGACATGTGGATCGCTGTCTCCATTTGAATCGCCCATCTGTCCTACCGCACCCTCAGTGATGCATTTTGTTCCATGAGCACTGGGACCTTCTGAGAAATGGCTCTAATTTAGTGTCATTGATCCTAATGGATGCTCCTGCTAACTGCACTTTACATCTTAATAAAAGAAAGAGCATCTCACTTTTTTGTTTCCTTATTAATATTGCAGTGTGAAGTATTTTTTTTTTAGAACTGCCAATCGCAGTCGCACATTTTTTGTATTTGAAATTCCTCCTTTCTGCATTGTTTTTAAATAAATTAAATTTTAAATAAATTACTGAATTTTATTCAGTAATTCAGTGAATGGACCCCATTTTACCAGATGTTCAGTCTAGCTGCCGGCTCAGTGTACGTGTTCCTGAAAACAGCCCCTGCACTGTACACTGCCTTACAGACAGACACAAATACAGTAATTTGATACGCTATAGACAGAGCGGCTTGTGGACATTCCGGGACCATGTCGAATGGCCGGATGTCTGAACGGCCTCCTGTACCTCAGCCCAGACCACACACCATGGTTCCTGTTCCCAGATTCTTCCTTTCCCCAGACCCTAGACCTGTTTTGTTTCACTGTACTTCCCGTATGTTGTTCCTCTCTTCCGATTAGTTCAGCATTTCTCAACCAAGTCCTTAGAGACCCCCGGCAGTCCATGTTTTGCCTCCTCCCAGCTGCCAGCACACCTGAATCAAACAATGAAGACCAGCAGATACCTGGTACAGGTGAGCTGGGCGGGAGCAGAGGCGCCGGCTGCCCGGGGGGCCCCGAGGACTGGATTGAGAAATGCTGTGTTGCACTGAACTGGGGGCCAGTATGACATTATTGCAGCGGTTTCTCTGTCCTTGTCTGCGCTGTAGACGCGTTCGTCTGTTTTTGCTGGTGCTCTGCAGTCGCCGGGTGAGTCTTCATGTCGCCGGAATGAAGGAATCTGGAGCCCTGATATTTTAAACAGAGGCATGAACCCGATGCGAGTTCCACTGGGCCTTTAATAATAGGGGCCCGGAAGGAAAGCAGGGGGTGGCTGTAATTCCATAAGCCGCCTCATTTGCATGTATATTAATCGTCAAAAGGCTCAGCAATGCATCTATGTTGCCATACAGATTAGTGGCTGGTGTAGAGGAAGCAAAAGCCAGCGGAGCCGCTGCGAACGTGGACGTGCGGCGCTGTGCATGCAGAGGCATCTCGGTGGGCGGACAGGGGACGGTTTCGCCCTCAGGGATGCAGCTTGTGCTCATCACACGGAGGCGTCTGATAAGGGGGAGGTGATGCATTCGGTACCATTTTTATGGCTTTTTCAGGGGTCAGATGGGGACACACTCATGCTAGTTAACAGGAAGTTATCGTTACCGTTGTTGTTGGGTGTAAAACCGTAACCAAATAGAAATGATCTGTGCAGGAAAAGTGGTGTGACAGGGAGGTGCCTGTTTCTCTCTCTCTCTCTCTCTCGCTCTCTCTCTCTCTCTCTTCCTTGGGCTTCACCAGTTTGATCCTGTGTAGAAATGGTTTCAGACTGAGGTGACAACATACCCTTGCGGCATTCTTGAGTCTTGATTACCGTCACACTGTGTTCTTATGCTGGTGTTTGCGTATCCTGATGAGGATGTTTCTGCAGTTCATCAGAATTAGTCTTTGTTCTCTTCATTCTCATACAGTATTTCAAATTCCCACGTTTTTTTTAATTTATTTTTAGTTTTGGGTCAGATTTGGCCTCTCCCCTAGATCTCTCTTTAAAGTGCTGTTTATTCTGACAGCTCTAATTCAGTGTAAGTCGGTAGCGTCACATGCTCGGATTTCCCCCCCTGCCGGCCTCCCCAAAGCCGTGTGGGTTTCATTAACACCACAATCAGACATCAGCCACACTGTGATGGCCTCATCCTTTCTGTTCCCTGAATGAAAACCCCAGAGCTTTGCTTGCACATGATCAGGGTCTTTCTCTGGTTTCTCCAGAGACTCACTGTTCTTTATGGTTTGACAGGCTTCTGGATTTCTGAACAGCTGTAATTCACTGCCAAAAAATACTATTTCTTTAGGACTAAATATCTAGTGTATGCTATCTAACACTTCTCTTGAAACCAGCCAATAGAATCTTGAGAATCGATTCTCAAATTTCGATCTATAGATATTTAGTAGAAGCAGTCAGGGTTTTGAAAGAGGATAATTGTTTGAGATAATAGTCGGGCTTGTGGGTTGCCAAGTATTACCTGTAGAAATGCTCACACAGTGGAGGATGACTGAGTGTGTTACAGAGTGAGGACTTTACAGCCAGACCCATGGATGATTTATCATCAGATAACGATGCTTAAACATTTTCTGTTTGCACCTACTAGGGCTGCAAAGGCCCATGAGGATCAGCACTGCTTACCCTTCATGTCCATGGCAGAGGCTTTGCTATAAAGCACTGCATTGTGGGAAATGTGGGCCTGGATGCACATGCCCCTTTACTGTAAAGCACTGCATTGTGGGAAACGTGGGCCTGGATGTACATAGCTGGATCGCCTAGTGGACTTTACAGTCATTCTATTAATCATTTATTGTAGGGACCAAAAAATATATATACAGGTAGCTATAATTATAACCATTAATGGTTTAGCAACCTACAAGTCCCAAGTCAAATGAAATACACTTTATATATTAAAATTATTAAATTTAATTAAACTCAGATCAGGTTTTCTGGATAGTCTTACTGTCAGCTTGATGTACGATGAGACCATCTTCTGTATCACCAAAAAGAGAATTTTCCAATGGTCAGCCCGGACCATGCTTCACAGAACTACTCTCTCTACCTGCGTGTGAAAATCTCTCCCTCCCAGTCCCTCAGACTTTCTGTTCAGCTCTCTGTCCTAACATGGAGAAACATTGCTGTTGTTGCTGTTGTCCCTTGTGTGGTGGCCTCTTCTTGACCGTTGGCTGGCTGTACTCATCTCTCCCCATGTATTCTGTTCCACCAGCCCTAACCCTTGGTCTGATGTCTGCAGGCCATGTCCGCACTCTTTTCAAGAACCTTCTGTGTCTTTGCTAAACACACTTGTCCTCGTGTTCTGCTTGGAACTCAGATGAATTCTGTCATTAAAGTTCAACAGGAGAGTTCCGCAGTGGTTTGTCTCGTCGTATGAACACGCACTTGCATGCTTTTGATTCCCCCCATCATCTTCTGTCCCCTCTCCCCCCTCTCTATGCTCCTGGAAGCCACCACTTTGACCCTGAAGATTACAGCTCCATGGATGATGACTGGTAAGGCCTCCCTGCCTGCTGTGCTTTCTGCCTCTTCTTCTCCGTGAGGCGTATTGGGGGGTCAGGGTGGTTTGTGGGCGACACCTTCCTATGCTCTCGCTCGTCCGCCTTAGAAGAAGCCGGTGCGTGATGGTTTCTGTCTGCATCCACTCTAAACTCAGCACAAGTTTCTTTATTGCTGGTTCAGATAAGCACTTCCCCGCATTCTGCCATCTGGCTGAATGTTTTGGCTGGTGAGGTTTCTCAGGGGAGATGCTAAGAGGTACATTAAGAGAGGAAAGGCCCATAACTGCGCCTGTAGGCCTCAGTGAACATCAAGCAAGGTAGATAGAGTCATAGCTCAGCAGACACTGTACTTACCATCATAGAGGCCCCCTGGAAGATCGTGGGCTGCTGTGGCATTAGACAGCATGGGGGTCCCATGAACAGGACTGGTAAGGAAAGGCTTCTTGAGGTGCTGGACCCCTGGAGAAAGCAGTAAGGTTTGCTTTCAGGGTGAGAGGTTGGAAGTTAAGAATCAGAGCTGCGTTAAGCTTATTATCAGCAGCTACTTCTTAAAGTACCAATGATACCTTCATTTTGTTCATTAAATTACTGTATAAATAACTGTATCACATTACAGTTATTATTTTTTCGCATCACATTGCTGTGAGAATGTTCTTCACCATGCTTTCAGGCAAGAAGGTTTTCAATACCAAAAAGTTATTAAAATAATCAGATGTTCAGTATCCTGGGCATTACAGACGCAAAAATAATTAGGGTAAAAGTCACTGACACCAATTAGTACGTTAAAGAGTTTAAGTTTAGCAGATATATAGCTGGGTCATGTAATATTTTATATGTGACCTTAATATTGTATGACAGGAATTGTGAATAATTTCTAGTGGATGAAATGGTAAAAACTGCGATTGAAAATTTATCGTTATAATGTCATGATGCTTCTGGAGTTAACGCACAATGACCAGGGATAACCTCAGGAACATGGCTGCCTAGAATGGAGACACCTATAGCCTCGAGAGAGAGAGAATCAGGAAGAGGTGCATCAGCTGTCGTGGACGTTACATTATCACTTGAAATTGGGTGTGAGTGTGGTCTCATATGCTACCCTGAAGCAAGCCTACAATTTCATTACTGTAAACTTTTTATTTAGCAGAAGCTAAATTTGAGAAACAGTGTCAGCCAGTTAAAGGCCTTGATTAAAGGTCCAATAGTGACATCGCTCTGCCAGCCATTTGAGGATCTGAACCAGTGACCTTCTGATCAGAGGCACGGCACCCTAACCCTAAGCACACCATGCCCTTCATGAGCCACATAGCAAACTTATCTTGAGGATCATGGCAAATGTGAAGGCTGTGAAGAGAAAGGAGCAGGCAGTAATAGTTACAGCAGGCAGTAGTTTATGTACAATTGAGTGTAAGAAGTTGATGGTGCATTTTAATGAACTTCCCTGACACATTTAATGTGGTACATGACATAGAGCCTTGCTTTATCGTCTCTCTGTGCTGTTATGGACTTGCAGTCTTCTTAGGCCTCATGTAGCGGGATGCAAGCCCCAGTTGGGCTTCTTTTCCGCTGTGTGGCCTGTGGAAACTACCAGATGAAGACCGTTAGCACGCGGCCCTGTAACTGTAGCCTCCTTTTCATCATGGATCTTACGCCACTGAGAGGTCGTCCATCTGCCAGGGAATTCCTGCAGGGGTGAAAGTAAATGTTAAGCTCATAAAGATTTCACCATTAATCAGGCCCGTGCTATCTGTGACTCTGCCTTGGTCGTCATGTCTTTTGGGAACCTCGTCCCACCCTTGAAGTGGGTGTACTGTACTTCAGCTTAACGGTACTAACCGTGCAGCACTTGGCTTATGTAAAAAGCATGTCGTCGTGCACGAAGGCCCTTGTTCATCGCTCCGCCTCTGTTTTCTGCTGACACACCGTGCTCCCGCCTCAGCCGTGACTTAACATAATCTTCTGTTACATAAGGCTCCTTCTATTTTGGGCTTATGTGGGTATGCTTGGATTACCCTATCTTCAGATATGGCATCGGAGGGCGGGAGGGGGGAAGCGGCGTAATTCGCGGCAGAGCATACTCGCGGACGCTGCTGCTGACCCCGCCCACTTCTCGAGGGGGTTTCCCTCCATATGTTTGTGTTTTTCCTCTCTGCAAGCCAGCCAAAAGCCAAGTGCGTCTGTCTGTCTCTCTCTCTCCCAGGCACACCATGTTAACTGAAGAAGCAGGATTCAGTGACCCCAGCCTCCTAGAGAATCTGCAGAGCAACCACGTAAGTACCCATTTGGTTGCATCCAGCCATGCGTTGAGCAGCACTGACCTCACAGTCAGCCTCGCTCACAGTGCCCTGTGGATCGCCTCCCCCTATGCCACGTGAGAAAATTAGCAGTGAGGGAACAAACACTTTTGTATGGGTAATGTGTGACATGGTGTGAAAATGGCCCTGTTTAGCCAAGTTGTTTGACCAGATCAATGGATTTTCATCCTACGTCTGTATGCTCCTGTTTGAAACACTCCCTGCTGGCCTGTATTCATCATTACTAGTGTCGTGAATGTAAGGAATATAACGTGGTGATTAATCGGACAGCTTTGTCAACGTGGCCCAGGACGCTGTGGACTTATCGAGGAGAGTGGTACCCATTGCATCTGGCAATGGCCGACCAGGTCTGCGAATCGCCGGTGATGAGCACTGCTGTTAGTCGAATGAAAACAGAACTCAAGGGTCCCCCCCCCCCCCCACACACAGATTTAGATTACTGTTTATCAGGTGGAATAAATGGGCAGCAGTATTTCATCCCTGTAAATCCGAGTGCCTAACAGGCTGTGCAGGCCGTCGCACCCCCCCACAGAGCAATGGACCCTGTGGCAGTAAATCATACTGATTGGCCAGTTTAAACCTAAGTGCCGCCTGTCACCCAATGATGCGAAGGAAGGAGTTATCAGTCGCCACGGCAACACGTGCCACTGAGCCGGCCACATGGACGTGCGCGGATGCCTGCGATTGGCCAAGCATGAAGGCAGTCCGAGAGCCGCTGCTGTAGGGGTCCTTTTTCGCTGCCTTCAGCCCCTAATTGAGTAACAAGGATTGATTACCAATGCAGTAGCTTGTGTTGTACTAGTAAAACTATTTCTACACGATGTTCAGGGGTTTTAAGGTAAGCAAGCTTCAAAAAGTGGCCTGGAGTAAGAAATGGTGGATTTAGCCTGGATTAAACCAGGGTTTCTCAACCCGGTCCTCGGGGACCACCAGACGGTCCATGTTTTTGCTCTCTCCCAATTCCGTGCCAATTGGGAGAGAGCAAAAACGTGGACCGTCTGGTGGTCCCCGAGGACCGGGTTGAGAAACCCTGGATTAAACCATACTTTTTACTTCAAAAAAACTTGAATGCAAGTTCACCCATAAAATGGCATCTTGTGCGTTTTTCATTTGCACCTGGGTCTCTCCTGCCTCCTTTGGCCGCTGCTTACGGTTCAGCCGTCATTTATCGCGAACCCTAATGAATATGTTTCTCTGCCACATTCACAGCTTTTGAAAATCCACAGGCAGGACAGCAGCCTTCAGTCTTTAATGCCCCAAATACTTAAGCTGAAGTTTTTGGTCACCGAACGGTGTTCTTACACAACCCCAGCGTTTTTAGCGGTTGGGTCCAATTAGAATGTTCTAGAAGGCTGACGCCATGATGCTGGGTCCTTAGATCTCGACTGGCCCGCTCCAGCCAAGTCAAGCCATCTCATCAGTACAGCTTCATTAAAATTCTGCTCTACAGAGCAACAGTTGCCCCTGGCATCCAGCTGATGTCTCTCTAAGCATTTCTGGAGAAGGCAGTGATTTCATTGTCTTTCCATTTAAAACCAGCACTAAGGAGCATGAGGCTGACCTGCCGAGGCTGAAAGTTTAAGACAAGCAGAAAATAAAGCTTGCCAGTGTCAGAATCCGCCCTCCTCCCCCCAAAGCCCCTGGATACACCCCCAGCCTCTCCAGGGCTCCCCGTGTTCTGGAGAAAGGCTATTGCTCATTAGAGCAACAGGACATTTCTCACAAGTGATGACCAGCAGGGTCCTAAAGGGCCCAAGGGAGATCTAGGTGTAGCAGGCTGTTCTGGGCCTTTCAAACCTCCCCACCCCCCAGCAGTGGAACCATGCCAGCTTTTTCTGCAGCAGGACGCAGTATATACAAATAGTCAGTGCTCTGGCCCCATCTCTCACACAGACGCACGCACACTCCGAATCGCACATGCTCACGTTGAAAGGCAGGCCATCATACTCTTGCAGACGCTCACTGACGGACTGCAGGCCTGACTCGTTCGCAGGTACACGCGCTCGTGCTCGCTGACGGCCAGATTCCCAGTCCCTCACGGACACAGGCACAGCCGCTCTCCCACACCGCACCTTTGATATCGTGAAAGCTCTTTGCTCTACACACCTTTGCAGCAGCACTTCCTAACACTACAGACACAGTGACCTCTTTCTGCTCGTTAGACCGCTGTCTTAAACAGGAAGGCCTTTTTAGTACAAGCAGAAATGGGCTTCTGCCTGATTCCCACACTTGGGCCTTTCACTGTCATGTGAAGGTGGGGGGGGGGGCCCTGATTGAGAGGCCCAGGCCATTTTTTTTCCTCCCTCTCTGATGTTTCTGAGGAAATATTGACTCTCCTCCACAATAGGGCCTAATTTTGGGGTCTCTTATTGATACAAATGGATTTTTTCCCTGACCACAGCCAATAGCTTCTGTTTGGCTGTTGAGTGGGAGACACCCCCCTGTGCGGGGAGATGGCCTCACGACAGCTGGCGAGCAAGTGTGCATTAGAAATGCAGCTCTCCCACAATGCACCCCTCTGTTTCTGAAGAGCAGGTCCAGAGGAGAAACCAGTGTATTCGGCTGATTTGATTTTCAAATACAGTGACAACCATGAAGCTAGATATAGTAGAGTATACTGGGAACCAGTCAGTTAGCAACGTAAGACAGCCAGGAATTTGTCAGTAATTCAGACTTATCAATACAAGATTTTTTTTTTTTTTTAAAAGGAGAAATTTTTGTCCATCAACATAGAAAATAATTAAATATAAAAAGGATGTCAGTATAAACAATAGAATATCAGTAATAAAATAAACATAAAAATTAAAAATGGATGATAAAAAAATAAATTAAAACATTCCCTGTATATCTATGCTGTCCTGTCCTGTTAATATTTGTGTAGTTGAATCAGGTTTGGCTGCTGTTTTTTTGTGTTTTTTTGTTTGTTTGTTTGTTTTTGGGTTTTTTTTTGGGGCAGCCAGGGGTGCATTGGATAAATTGACAATCCAAGGAATGAAACTGCTGTTGCGCCCTTCAAACACTTCACCTAAATTGCGTTGGCAGTGTGAAAGACCATGGAAAACATACTACAAAGGAGCCTTTACTCTGATAGACCAGCAATGCGTTGTGATGGATCAGAGACTGGATCTCCGATGTCTCCCTGCTGAATGCACTTCCAGCTCCTCCAAATTTCCTTTCCTGTCATCTGAAATTTTCTGGAGGCATTGGAGGGGGGTGTCGGCTTTTGAAACGTTTATATTTAATTTCCTGCATTATTAATCGACAAAAGCCTGGACAGATCTTGTTACATCTGGGTGTTATATGAAATAGTACTAATTCTGTTTGGGTGTGAGATTTCATTGCAGATATTCCTTGTTTATGTGAATTTTAAAGTTTGAACTGGAATGGTCGGTGTAAAAGGTCACGCCCCTTAGCATGTGGCTGTGGTCCAGCTCTTAGCTCCACCCCCTTCAGCTCGAGGGACAGTAACTCCCACGTGTCAAATTATCTGGGCAATGAGCCGAGGAAAAGGTGTATGAGAGAAACACCATTGATTGTAGGTGGTGCCTGAGCCGGTGTGTTGTTTTCTCATTTTGTGTCCATACCATTTATCATAACTAATGGCTAATACTGCATTAGCTACACCCATAGCACACATAGGTCTGGCCAACGTCTCGCGACCTACACAAGGTACATCTAAACAATTTAATACTCAAGTCATTTGCTAATTAGCAAGACATCTATGCAAGGTTACTTTGGATCTGCAGCAATTATGACCTGTTTGCGATCTTCCCACAATGTTTTGAAATGTAATTGCATGGTGCGTAAATTTACTTTGTGTCTGTACGTGTGTGTGCTCAGCCCACGGCCCCCGTCATCCTGGAGTTCATGACCATGATGGCCTTGTGTCACACAGCCGTCCCTGAGAGGTCAGGTGACACTATCATCTACCAGGCAGCTTCTCCAGGTAAAAGCCGACTCTGCCTGTCACCCTGGAGTTCTTGTCCAAACAGATCACTCTCTGTTACTGCGGTACCTGTCTGCTACGCTCTGTTACTGCGGTACCTGTCTGCTACGCTCTGTTACTGCGGTACCTGTCTGCTACGCTCTGTTACTGCGGTACCTGTCTGCTACGCTCGGTTACTGCGGTACCTGTCTGCTACGCTCGGTTACCGCGGTACCTGTCTGCTACTCTCTGTTACTGCGGTACCTGTCTGCTACTCTCTGTTACTGCGGTACCTGTCTGCTACTCTGTTACTGCGGTACCTGTCTGCTACGCTCGGTTACCGCGGTACCTGTCTGCTACTCTCTGTTACTGCGGTACCTGTCTGCTACTCTGTTACTGCGGTACCTGTCTGCTACGCTCGGTTACTGCGGTACCTGTCTGCTGCACTCTGTTCCTGCGGTACCTGTCTGCTATGCTCGGTTACTGTGGTACCTGTCTGCTGCACTCTGTTTCCACTTAACCATCTCTGACTATGTTTTTATTCAGATCTTTTTTTCTGTACCGTTTATTTCTTGCCATTTTATTATTGTTTTTAATCCCTGTGTTTTACTGCATGTGTGTTAAATGGATTTAAGTTTTCAGCTGTCGCATGTCTCGCCCAGGACACTGTCAGCTTAAACGGCGGAAGTTGGCCTAATTGAAGCATTATTCACCCCTTTCGGAACTCTGGATTGCACGGATCCTTTAATACATCACAATTTAAAAGTAACTTATCAGACAGAATTTTAAAATGGGTAAGGATAGTGTGTCAAATGACTGACAAAATCCAATTTGAATTCTGATTTGGATTGCCGTGACTGTATAAGCCTTCCTATTCATAATTCAAAGCAATTAATGCTTTTTTCAGGTAGTAATGAGCATGTTTGCTTTAGACCAATAAAGTAGTCATCAGAGGGAGGAATAATTATGACGTCACTCCCATTTAATTAATTTAAACATTGGAGATTAGATTGTTTCCATTCTACTGCACCAAATATACAGAGACATTAGTTACAACAGTATTCTAATGTCTGTGACTGCAAATATCAAATGCCTGTCCATTCAGGAGAACAGGACCTGAGTAGCTCAATCCCAGTACAAAGTGTCCCAGACAAGTGTTCAGCAAGCTGCTGAGAACATGCAGACCAGAGGTCACTAACAGGCGGACCGCGGTCCGGGTCCGGACCCAGAAGCTGTCCCATACGGACACGGACCGACAGCCAAAACATTTAGTTATTATTTAAAACCTGACGGGGCGCTTTTATTTTAACCGGCGCAGCGTTTGTAGTCTTTTCGGTAGTGGTTTAGCAGTAGAACCGCCGTTTCCCACGCCAATGAACGTCGAACGCCTTTGACCGCCAAGCAAGACGTATAGTTCGGCGTATGCAGCCTTTGTCTGCGCTAATGTGCCTTTCGTGTTAATAGCAGCAGCGAAGCTAACACCCGCAAACAAAAAGCGTAATGTTCCTAACAATGTGGCTGCGCTCTCCTGAAATCGTAAAGCTGGAAAGTTTTCAAATACAATATATATATTATATAACACGTTGGATAAATAGACGTAGTTTATCGTTGATTGTTCGTTGAAGTTTCTGCATTTTAACATATGTATAAAGTAATGTTATCTGTTATATAAATATACTCATGTGAAACAAAAAATGTACGTTTTCAGGGTTGCCAAATCTCAAGCATCTGGCATGACACTCTCGCTTTCAGACTCATGCTGGAAATCTTACGGCAAATCTATATTATTCCATTATAAAACCTAAAATTAACTACGTCAAAGGTGTATTTACACGGTTAAATACAAAAGCAGACTATTTACAAGGTAAGAACTGTTACATGTGTGCAGACATCTCGAATTGTAAATCTCACTCCAGCCAGCTGGCCGAAGTTCTATGTCACGTGACAATAAATATTGTCAAAACGTTTTTGAATTGTACTGAATTAATTTGATTGACAGTCAGGTACTGATTACATACAATGTTGATGCAACTAATAGGCTACTTAAATATATATCATACTATTAAATAGTTAGACATTATGATCTTCCGGACCTTTGCTTCAAGAATTTTTCTCTAACTGGACCTCTATAAATTTTAGTTGAATACTCCTGATGTAGACGCTAAGCAAGTGTAGCTGAGCTACATGAAAACTATACATAAAGTTACACAACAGAAGTAACTACAATAAAGTGGTCATTTAAAATGTAATATCCCAGGTTTTTCAAATATTTTTTTATTATGTACATATTCAATATCACGTTTTTTTCTCATTCATTTGTCCTGACTGGTTTCAAAAACTGATGAAATGGTTGGTGGCTCAGTGAGCTAAGCCTCTGTACCTATGATCAGAAGGTCGCTGGTTTGAGTCCAGCCTCGGTACGTCTGCAGATCCTTGAGCGAGGCCCTTAACCCCCAGCTCCCTGGGTGCTGCTATGGGTGGCTGCCCTTCATGGCCAGCTTGCTGTCGCCTACAGAGAGCAAGTTGCAGGAGGTATAAAGTGAATTTCCCCATGGGAACCAAAAAATCATTGTCAATATTATTAAACTGCTGCAACAGGGGTACCAGCTCTAAAAATTGTGAATAAGTAGACAAATTAAGAGGCTCAAGAAGGCAAAGAGGACAACAGCTTCAAACTACAAAATACGCATTTGAATATGTATGATTTTTCAGTCATTTCTGTTAATTTCATTACATTATCCAGGTATGCTGTCACCATAGCTCAGACTTGATGAACAGTGATTAACTGAAAATGGATTTTCCATGAATAGAGTTCGTTTTGGGCAGGTTGTGGGTGTAACACCAGCACAAGGTTCATGATTTGATTGATTAAATATGTGTCAATCTGGGGAGATGTAGCGCTTGTCAGAGCTACCGAGTTACTTCAATGAATACACAACTTCACTATATAAAAGCTACTCGACACACAATGCTATGACCTCACTACTGGCAAAAGCAGTTAAATTAATAGCCTTGCTATTCTTAGCAACGCTACTGCCCAACACTATCTGCGCACAACTGTTTAGGAAACATCTGCCGCATTGGCACTATAAATACTAGAAATATGGTAGCTTGCAAAGCAGATTTGCAATATAATGCAAAACGTTTTTAGCATCTTTGTTAACCTATGCTTGTTTTTGTGGTGCCCGGTAGCACGTGATCACTAGTACACCATATAGTCGTCTCACATAAATGACGGTGGTCGCATAAGAAAATAATGGGGCTGAAAATTTCCTATGGCATAGTGACATTGTAGCCGTCGTAACGTCTTAGTGCAACGCATTACTCGCGTGTTGTGGTGACTCTGGTGTAAACAAACCTACTGCGCTGCCAGTTGTATAAATGTATAGCACATACAGTTATGTACATATGTATATAATACTTGATAATGATAAAAGTTATGTCCCTGGTGTATGTATTTACTATACTGTACTTTATCATTATTTAGGCTATAACATATAGTATAGTACTATGTGTAGTAGTCTGTGCCATCTAAGTTTGTGCAAGAACACTTTATAATGTTTGCACAACCTCGAAAACGCCTAACGACGCATTTCTCAGAATGTATCCCCATCGTTAAGCGACGCATTACTGTACTTCTACAGTTAGTATATCATCCAGCAGCATAGTGCTTTGCTGAGAATGCACATAGGCGTTGTACTCTTGTATAGATTCATTCATTTCTTATTTGCTTAATTTATACATCTAGACATTTACATAATAACCTCATGCTAAAACATCAGTGCCACTTGTAGGATTTGAACCTTCCAATGATTCCTTTTCTTTCTCTCCAGGCCCAAACTTTTTCTGCTTTGATATAAAAATTATTTAGCTATTAAGCTATTCGGCTTTGGGTAAAATGATTATTAGCTTGTTAAGTCATACATGGAAACATTTGAGTGTTTTAGTGAGTAAACAGTCACATGGTGTGTTGGTAAATGCTCCATTTTTTCCTCCTGTTTGCGGATAGACGAGGGGGCATTAGTGAGGGCCGCACGGAACCTGGGCTTCGTGTTCACTGGCAGAACTCCGGACTCCGTCATCATTGAATCTGTGAGTACTGGCCCCGCCTCCCATCTGGCTCCTCCCCCACATCCTCTTCCAGTCACATGGTTAAATCCTTTTTACAAGCTGTCTACACAGTTTGCAGATGAACTAATCAGAATATGGCTCAGTGGAAGTGTAAATCAGCTACAGGGCAGAGAACCTCAGATATGTGCCTGTTTTTTCTAGTGTTTCCCTGTTATTGGTTGTTTTTGCCTTTTTGTGACAATTATGCAGTGATATTTACCTTAAAACTCCACCCTTCCACACCCCACTGCTGTTTTGTACTAACTGGTCTTTCCAAAATGTGTGTTTATTTGAAAAAGTAGTAAAATAAATTCTCAGCCTTAGTTTTGGAGCAGTTAAAATGCTTAATATTTAGCCTGTGCAAGAGTTTTTCAGTCTTCCTTAAACCAGGGACCCCAAAATAAGAAATATACTCACCAAGCTGGTTTCAGAGGCTATGTGCAAAACATCTGGCCTAAAAAATAATAGTGTCCTTCTCTTAAAAGATCCCTCTCAAGGAGAACATGACTATGAAATGAACATAGATTTTTGCCTTCAGTCAACATTCATGAAAATGAACTGGTTACAATAATGAAGAAAACAGCCAAAATTGCTAGATACCCATTCTGTTACGTACAGTTATGTGAAACATATTAAGTACCATTATACCACATTAACAGGCTATTTGCAAAAAAACACATTCTTAAAAATAGCAATCTTGACTTAACTTGCTAGCACATAATAATTTAGCTACTTCTGTACATGCTAGCTATTTGGACGTCATAGCATGAGGATATGTTTATCTCAGTTTGGAGGTTTATTGTGTTAAATTTACATTGACGAGAATGCACATGGGCTTAATTTACCACGCATGGCACTTTAATATGCACTGGATCCCACGTGAGCGGGTCGCATGGTTCAGAAGGCAGATTGGAATCTCAGACAGGCCTATCTCCCAGCTACAGGGAACCCCTCCGCGCTTCCCTAAAAGACGCCAGCATGATCCAGCAATCATCAGCTTCAAATTATGCGCAATTGAATTATGGGACAGAAGGTTCTCTGATTATTTATACTTCAGACACGAGGGCTGCTCTCTGCTTTGTGCCTGTACTTATCTGGGATACTGGCAGAGTGGTCTGACAGATAGATTAAAGAAGAATCCTGTAATGTCCACCTTTTAATCCTTTCCCTGCCGAGCTTTGGGATTTAAGGACATATTTCTTCTTAAAACTACTTAATAAAAACATCCATGTCATTGTTGGGATTAAGGTTTTTCCCATAGAAATGAATGGACGCTTCTTCAGTGAACATCTGCACCTGTTGGATATGTTGCGTTCGGGGACCCACAGGAGGACTGTGTCAAGAACATCAGGGTTTCATCGGATAATGGTTTAGGGACTAAAAGGAAAGCTGTCATTTGTTTTTCACTGTCACCTAATTATGACCTTCAGGTTCATTTCCAGGTTGACAGCCTTCATCAGTTGGAGTGCTGGTCCTGCATACTGATGGGGGAGTGATTCTTTGCTCACCATCCAGTTTGGCCCCTATGTAAAAGATACCGGCAGACTCACTCACTGCTAATCATTATACCCCCACAACCCAGTACTGTAAACTTCCTCATATCTTCTCAGTTGCTGAGTTTAAATATAGAATAGTGAGACTTTCCTTTTCACCTATCCAGTTTTGTGCTCCGTGAGACATACATACAGGTGAGAAGAAGCCCAGGGGTCAGAGCACAGGGTCATCCAGCGGACAGAGCCCCTGGAGCTTGGGGTTAAGGTCCTTGCTCACAGGTCCAATGTTGGCATCACTATGCCAGCCATGGGATTTGATCCGGCAACCTTCTTATCACTGATATAAATACCAACCCAGTGATGTTTACCTTCTGTGTCTGAATTTTTATGCTGTTGATAGGCAGGACTGTGTTTTGATAAGGGTACCGGAGGTCACTCGCCTTGGGGTCAGAGGTTCGAAGCCCTGCATAGCTACATCCAGCCTCTCAGTCATTCCCCTATTGACTGTGCTGTCATTCCCATTGATAAACCAGTAGCAGACAATAGTTCTCTGGCAGATACAGTGTTCGCATATGGCTCCTGACAAGCTGTGTATAGAGATTTGGCCAACGTGTGTGTTGAAGCATCGGCCTGCCTTTGAAAGATGTCGCCGTCCTCCTCCATGGTCTCAACAGGCCTCTGAGGTTAAGGACATTGCCTCCGGCAATGCTTCCTCCCTCAGGGCGTCCCACGCAAGGCAGCTACAGTTAGCCATGCTACTGTCACTACCAGTGCTGCCACCTACTGGCAGTCCCACTGACAGCTGTTTGCAGTCAAGCCTCAAGACGGTATCTCATTTATCAGGAAAAATGTGTTCCCCTCATCCATCTAAATATCATTTTGTTTATCTTTTATTGTAGTTTTGAAGGAAAACCAGGAATAGTTTTTGGTTGACCATGCCTAATTTGCTCAAAGATGCAGTGGAGGACAATATGTCACCTATTATAAAAAAAAAAGGGTATTTCCATTTATAAAAACACAGAAGTCAGCCAGTGTGCAGGTTTTAACTGTACCCAGTAACTTATTTTCCCAATATAACTTATTTAGTCTTCTATATTTAGTCTAGTACTGAGGTCCTCTTAAAGACCGTTGGGTTTGCACACTGTGGACAGCCAGAACCAGGACTGTAAGCTGCTAATAGAGAACCTGTACAAACATGCAGAATTACATCTGCATGTTTGCTACAGGACCAATATATTTATCTTGCATTTCCTAGATCGTGTTTTATTTAAGCCTTGCAAATTAATTTTGAACTTATATTGCCTCTTTACAGCCCCATGATTAATATCACTACAGGCTGATTAATATCACTACAACTGAAGCACTGAGTCTATGCAGTACAGTACTCTATGCTGCATTTATGGTCACCCCAGTGTGTAATTAAGTCTCCTATATTGTCAGTATGATTTGTAATTCCTCTGATTATGAGAATTAAAGGGGATGGAATCATACTCATGCAGCAGGAATGATGGGTAATGTTCTTTCTGTACCTGCAGTGGATGTAACTGGCATCCAGGGTAGGCTCCCCACCCCCGCGTTTCTATACCCTGCATAGAACAAAAGGGTATAAAAAATGGATGGATGGATGGATGGATGGATAAGAAGATTTCACTGTGGCACTAATTTTAGAGCAATATATGCATAAAGAATAAACGATCCATTTTGTCCCATTACTGCCCTCCAGTGGTCAACTCATAAATGTTGACATTTTGGTGGTTAGATCTGAGGTTTCACTCCTCCATATAAAATAGTTCATGTGGGCAGCAGAAATATTCTTTTATGTAAAAAAGAATGTGAAACATGCATATTGCAGCAGCCCAAATTTCTACAACTCATTTTCTGCTTCGTTTACTGCCGTTTTGCTCAGCTCAGAATTTTAAACATTGTTTGTTTTGAATGTTTTCACTCTTTCCTCCATAGCTTGGTGAAGAAGAAAAATACGAGCTGTTAAATGTCCTGGAGTTTACAAGGTACTTGATGTTTTTGTTTTATTTTGTTCAGTAAATACGTTGCTTCCTGTAGCATAACCCTGTTTGTGGGGCAGCCTGCTTGATTTGCTGTCATCTGTTGTCAGTTTATCTCCTTCACCTTGTTTATTTATCGGTTCAATGAGGTGAACTGTCAGTGTCAGTAATATCTTCTGCAGTTTCCAGAACCTCATTTTCCCTGTAGCTTTATAAAATCTGTTTTTTGTTGTTTCCAGATGTATAAGCCAGCATTATCAGTTGTGGTTTTGTTTTGCTTAGACACTGAACATTGACAGGCCGAGTGAACACATTTAAGGCCTTGACCGTAGGATCCTGTACTGCAGGCAATAACAGTAACAAATTCCGAGGATCATCTGATATCTTTGAATATATAAAACCATCTAAATGCGCCGTGCTGTTCCGTATACATTTCCTGTCTTTTGTTCTGTCCTACTGTGTTTCCGTTCTCAGTTTCCATTCTCCACTGTAATAAGCAGCTTAATGGTGGCTTAATGAGTTTTTCCTTTGTACCATTAGCTTAATCCCAGGAAATCAGTTTAAATGGATTTCTGCTTTCTCACTGGATCCAGTTTTTTTAGCTGATGCATATCACTTAAACTGACTTTAATGAACTAAAACTATTTTTTTTCCTGATCGAATTCAGATTCTTGTCATTGTCACTGGTTCCTAAACCACAGTGTTGCCTTCTGTTGTGCATTTGTTTTGCGGCACAATTAAGTCAACCTGGGATTAATTTAGCTACTTTACATTTAGGAATGTATCATTAAATTTGATAAGCAGAATCCAAACTGTTAAGGAATTACAAATTTGCAATGAATGAAGATGTGTAAGAAGGTACCTTAATAGTAGTCTGGCTCAATATGCTACTTGTTGCTTGGTCTCTCATAGCAACCGGAAGAGGATGTCTGTCATCATGCGGACCCCATCTGGAAAGATACGGCTGTACTGCAAGGGGGCTGTGAGTCAGCCTTTTTTTAACTTGGCTATGCACCAGACGACCGTAATCTCTGGGGTCCTTAAGAAGACCACACTAACAAGCATACAGCTCTCACCTCACGCATAAATACTGTCGGCCTTTTATAAATTTGCATGTTGCAAACTGCAGATTCACAAGTATGTAATTTAGCTGCTGGAGGTGCAGTTAGCAGGGGGGTCACTTAGAGAAGGAGAGCCCCCTAACATCTCTTTGGCAGGACACGGTCATCTACGAGCGGCTGGCAGAGAGCTCCAGGTACAAGGAGATCACGCTCAAGCACCTGGAGCAGTTTGCCACAGAGGGTAGGAGCTGTGCTCGCCCTTCCCTGCACATTTACCTGAATTTATAGGGACTCCTAGCCTTGTATTCCTGCAGACTCGCATGTACCAGTCAAAAGTCAAGACTCACCTACCCACAGAAATGTTCTCTACATTTTGGAATAAAGACCTCAAAACTGTAATGTAATGTCTAAAGAATTATACACTGGCTAAAAAATATTACACACAAAAAAAATGTCTGGTGGGGGTAGGTTGGTACTCGATAGGCTGCCATTTCAAATCCTTGGGTTGGCAGAGTGATCCCACCACTGGGCCCCTGACCAAGGCCCTTAACCCCAATCGCTCCAGACACTGGCTGACCCTACTGTCTCCTCTACCTCAGTTCCATGAGGTGGCCTCCTGGGATGCTTTTCCAGCTGTCCTGCAGGAGCTCCCACATATATGCTGAGCTCTCACTGCACATGCTGAGCTCTCACTGCACATGCTGACCTCTCACTGCACATGCTGAGCTCTCACTGCCTTCTGTATTTAGGTCATGTGATGTAATACTGTCACTCACCTTTTGTACGTGTCTTGGCGTGTCCAAAACTTTTGACCGGTACTTCATGCTAATGTGCATTCACTGATATTTGGACTAACACCCGCAGCCACACACTTCCATAGGTTTTGGCTTTTAGACTGACAACCCCAAACACACACTGTTACATGGATTCTCACATAAACATAAATGAACTGAAACCTCTAAGTCCTTTCATACACAGAACTGTTCCCTGTTTTTACATATTTCCCTTATAATTAACTGGAAAACTGGCTTTATTCTTTACTTTGCAGGGTTTTATCATATGAAAGCTCCCTTTATTTGTCCGATTACTGGAAGGCAGTTGTTCAACCCTGAAAAGGTTATTTGCTCAGTGAACATCTGCGTAATGTTGCTATGGTTACTGTGACATAGTTACCACATTGCAAACTTGTTCACTGCCACCCATAGACTGTGTAAGTTAATGCAGCTTCTAGCATCAGCTGTTAGGAGAGTTTAGCACGATTGTTTTTGGATTGCCTGTATTGCCAATATTGTCAAACTTGCTGAATCTGATTGGACATTATCAAGCGTCATGTGACCCACCCCACTTCATGGCACCTGGACCATTGCAATTGTGATTGGAGTTTGTTTGAATGTTTAAAGCCAGTTATAATTGAACTGGACATTTTATTATTATTACAATAAATGATTCATAGCTAATGGTAGCTGACAGATAAAGAGAGCCAGCCCAGTATAACCAGTAAAAATGAAAAAATAAGCAAATGGGAATTTCAGTTAAAGGTAAGACACTTTGCAAACATCCCAAGCACAGATTCCCGTTGGTACATCATTGGAACCGATTTAGGGGGCGGCATGTGGCTCAGTGTTTCTCTCCCCGCAGGTCTGCGGACACTGTGCTACGCGGTAGCCGACATCTCCCCGGCAACATACCGCGAGTGGCTGGAGGTGTACCAGCGCGCCTCGACTGCCCTGAACAATCGGGCCCTGAAGCTGGAGGAGAGCTACGAGCTCATCGAGAAGGTGGGACCCGGCAGTGTCACTCACGTCGCCGTGGGTCAGTCATTACGTCGCTGCTACTGTTGGGCTTACGTCATTAGCAGCATCACCGCTAAACGGACTGCTAATACCATCCGAGATATAGATTTAGTTTATTTAGCAGATGCTTTAGATATAGCTGTTAGCATGACTTATGTTAGCATTATGTTACTATTAGGTTTGTTCTGTCCCTGCTGGGGCTACATTACTGTGTAATAACTGAAAAAGAAAAAAAATATTTATATGTTTCAATATATTGGTTTTGTAATACTATGACAGAATACTTAAGTTCATCATAAATGACATTTAAGTCCCTTTTCAGAACTGGCAAGTATACAAAAAACCTTTTGAACATACATCACAGTTTATTATTTAATCTTACAGAACAGCATACATCACCATTTTTATTTTATAGCTATAAAAATAATTTATGTATTTAATTAATCGATTCATTGTGTGGGTTCTGCTGCCCCTTCAGTCCATTTTACACCTCAAATAAATGATGTGGGAAATTTTGTTTGTCCGTTTGCTCATTTATTTTTGCTTCCGAACAATCAGTTGGCCTTTTTTTACCCCCTGGATATCCATCACTCATACTGCAGCTGGTGATGTTGGGAGGCCTTGTTAAGTGGACAGGCAATCCCCAACTTTCAGACAACTCGTACTTAAAACCCGACTGTCATAAAGACTATTATATAAAATTCGTGTTAAATACAGTGGTTAATAATTAGGAAATTCGGGTTAAATACAGTGGTTCATAATAAGGAAATTTGGGTTAAATACAGTGGTACGCAGGAATGCACTGCTTTTTGTCGCTCATAAAAACATTGTGTGGCCTTAGCGGTTTGCCAGCTTGGGTGCAGTACAGTACAGTATTATTTTTATTATTCATGGATTATTATTGCTATTGTTCTGTACTTTACTGTACTGTACTGTTATTATTTTTCCAACTTACCTAGAAATTCGACTTAAAGCCAGACTTAAGAAACGGATCTCATTCGTAACCTGGAGACGACCTGTAGTTTGCCTTATTAACAGCAGAGGGCCCAGTCAGGGGCCAAAGGCGGGATGGCAGCAGGGGCCTGCGGAGCTGACTGCTTGATCCTCCATGCTGATAATACAATGACACATTCGCAGTGGGACAGGGTTAGTGATACCCATCCCCACCACTAGGGGGTAATCTATTGCCATCATAAAGTGAATGCTCTGTAAATTCTGCATTCATTGGTGATTTTGTATGTATTTAGTGCCTTAACACTCATGGGGAGCAGTCTGAAGCAGGCGTAGTGGGCGTTGGTGGACGTGTTTTACTACATGTGCGGCATGTAGGAAGAAGCAAAACAAACCGACTGCGCTGCCGCTATAGAGGTTCAGTTAGATGTGTGATATCGTATCTTAATTTATACAGTATATCTGACTTCTCCCTTATAATGAATGAGATTTGTTCACATTGTCATCCATGACATTGTTTTAAGCGGTTTTAAAGCAATATTACCTTGGATCACATAGATAATGAGTAATAATTGGCAACTAGGTGCAGCAACAAATCAACAAACCGGATAGTTTGCCTTTCATTTCCCAAACAAGGTGGGGGACGAATGGACCCCAGAGTTCTCGTACTGTGTCTGTCCTGACCCCCCCCCCCCCCCCCTCATTCCCCTGGCATTGAACACCACCTTCACGTTTGCGTAGAACCTGCAACTGCTGGGTGCCACAGCCATTGAGGACAAGCTGCAGGACAAGGTCCCCGAGACCATCGAGACCCTCATGAAAGCTGACATCAAGATCTGGATCCTGACCGGGGACAAACAGGAGACAGCCATCAACATCGGTAGGGCACGCACCGAACCATGGTGAATGTTTACCCTGCTACTGTGCCACCTCCCTCAATAGAGTCCCCATGGCCAGTCTGCTGTGTCGGTCCCTGCAGCCACACCTGTAGGAGGGTTTGGCTGGCGCTCTGTTGAGGTCGTAAGAACTATACAGCAAATCCTAGTCACCCCCATGTGTATGAGGCCCCGCTGTTTGGGGTTTGAGAGAGTCATTGTAGAAGTTTATATGAATATTGTTGATGGCATTCAGGTCAGCTTGTATAAGGGGAGAGAAATGGGAAGCCTTTCAGGGGGCCAGCCACTAGGGGGAGCCCATGAGTATTTCAATGTGGATTGTCGTAGATTTGCTTTAGATAGGACCCATTTGGTAGAATCTTTCAGGGGACTGGCCACTAGGGGGAGTCCATGAATATGTCAGTGTGGATAGTGGTAGCTTTGGTTTGGTGGGGGCCCAATCAGGAAAATCTTTCTTGGGTTCTTTGTGCCACTCTAATTCCCCCAGGGCTTGTTGGGCTGTTGTCCTTGGCGTCCAGATAACGGATGCTGCTTGGCCCTGCCTAACCAAACCCCAGTGAAGTTGCCCTTCTTGGCAACCCCAACTTTAAATTCTCCCTCTTTACAGCCGACTGGTGATCCCTTTAGTAGGAAAATGGGCACCTGCCATAGCTTAGAAGTACTAGGGCGATTGCCCCACTTATTGGCCAAACTGGCGTGATTCCATTTGACTTAAATGGTCAGAAAGGTAGCGTGAATCTGTACCTCTGGCAGAAATATGTAGGTAAAGCAAGGGGCTGTTTTATAGGTCATTATTTATATTTTATTTAAATACCCGCAATACATGAAAACAGCCTGCGGGGCCCACAGTTATAATTTTATGGACTGAAGGTGGCGCCATTTATGCAAGGTGCAGGCTCAGCCTCTTAATGTTTTACAGTATCTGCCTTTTAGCCCTAAATCCCTTTAGGGTCATTTTGTGAAAAGCCCTGTGATTTCTGGGTTCGGCCAATTGGGTCCCAGGGGAGCTGAGGAACTAAATTGCCGTCTCCCGCCAGAAATGGGACCCTGTGATTCAGGGTTTTTCGTTGCAGATTTGCTGCATTTCTTATGTCTTCTGAGCACATTCCACACGTCTGGATCGAGTACATGTTTCTTTTCTTGTTTTTTCCTTCTCAAAGTTCCCAGAACAGCACGACAGGGGAATGGAAACCAGACCGGAAAGTCTCTTATTGGGATCATTTGTCACATGCAATTTTCAATGTTGTCATTATGGTGGATTCATTGCTTTCAGGTTGCCAAATAATCTCAGGTCCACATAAGTCGCTTTGGTGCTTTAGTAAGACATTCAATGCTGGTCATCTAGCTGTAATTATATAGATTTAGCCAGTGGCGCTCTGAAACACTACACCCTCAAGACAAAGCTCACAGCTGTGCGGTTTAGATGTGTAATTCCTGAGGCTGGGTTTGTCTTTTAGAGATTCACCATGGCCTGTCATGCATATTTAGGAGACAACATGCTTGGATTTGAAGCCTCTACTGCTCTGCCAAGGCCTGCCCTTGTGCGTGCGTGTGTGCGTGGACGTTTGTTTGTGCATGTCTTTCACCATGACATCTGATCACAGGCTCATCTGCTGTTTGTTCCCCGTCCGCAGGACACTCGTGCAAACTGCTGACGAAGAACATGGGCCTCATGGTGATCAACGAGGGTACCCTGGACGTAAGTGTGATGCCCGAGCCAGTTGAGGACAGTCTTCCGTGTGTTCACCATCACACCGAAGGACCTCCAAGTCATCTGTATCAGCTGTGAGAACAATTTCTGAGTCACTTCAAGGGCAGATCAGCTCTAGCGCACAGATGCGAGATAAAAATAAAGAGAACTGAAACTGGCAGTCACTTGAGTGACCCCTCCCATCAAAAGCAGACCTGCAAAACTGACTCACTATAAAAGGCACGACAGATATTATGATGGTGCTGTGGAAATCACCACGCTGATCTTCACTATATCCTCATCGTCCTATTGCAAAATCCTCTTTAAGGCAGAACTGCTGCATCCTTGCAGAAATATTTTTACGTTCCTTTCATGGCTAGTTTTTGTCTAGTAGGTGTTACGGCTGCCGAGTGATGGCTCATTTAAATGAGTGTCTTAATTATTAGGTTAAGTGAGAAAAAGGCTGGGCATTGAGAGCTGACCTAAGGGAGAGAGCAGGCCTGGGGAGCTGACCTAAGGGAGAGGGTGGGCTTGGGGAGCTGACCTAAGGGAGAGGGTGGGCTTGGGGAGCTGACCTAATGGAGAGGGTGGGTTTGGGGAGCTGACCTAAGGGAGAGGGTGGGCTTGGGGAGCTGACCTAATGGAGAGGGTGGGTCTGGGGAGCTGACCTAAGGGAGAGGGTGGGCCTGGGGAGATGACCTAAGGGAGAGAGTGGGCCTGGGGAGATGACCTACAGTAAGGGAGAGAGTGGGCCTGGGGAGATGACCTACAGTAAGGGAGAGAGTGGGCCTGGGGAGCTGACCTAAGGGAGAGGGTGGGCCTGGGGAGCTGACCTAAGGGAGAGGGTGGGCCTGGGGAGCTGACCTAAGGGAGAGGGAGGGCCTGGGGAGCTGACCTAAGGGAGAGGGTGGGCCTGGGGAGCTGACCTAAGGGAGAGGGTGGGCCTGGGGAGATGACCTAAGGGAGAGGGTGGGCCTGGGGAGCTGACCTAAGGGAGAGGGTGCCTTTCATGCTTTCAGAATAATCCCACCCCCTCCCCCCCACCCCGTTTTTTTTGGGTTTTGTCATCGCGCCAAACTTGTACGGCTAAAATTCCTTTCAAATTGAAATGAGAGCCGCGCTTAAACAGTGTCTTGTGCAGGCCGGACTGATTAGTATTATGATTTATTTGAGTTGCGACATCGGGGGTCTGAGGGGAAACCCGAGCGGAGTTCTCTCCAGGCCAGCTCTCCCTCATCTTCACTCCTCCTTTGTTTTTTTCCGCCCATCTTTCCTGCGTCCGTTCGTTCGCTCACACGCTCTCCCCCACGCCCTCTCTGCTGGCGTCCTCTCTTTCTTGAGACACCTCTTTGTCTCAGTCAACAATGGCCCAGATAGTTACTTTTCATTTTTAAGATTTTCTGAGCACATTTGGGTATGCAGTTAAAGTGTAAATTAGAGGGATATGTGAAATATTCATTTGTACTTGGAGCAGAAATATTAGTACTGCAATGGGTGAGAGACTTGGTTCAAGGGAAAGTTGAAACCATCGAGAATATTGGCAGGAAATCAGTCGTGTTAAAACATTCCGTCTCCTTCCTGTTGCATCCTTCCTTCTGCTCAGAGGTGGCACTGGCGTGGTCGGGGAGTGGTCCAGAGTCACGGGTGTGATGATGGACTCTGAATTCAGCTATCTTGTCTGTAGCTATAACACTCACACTGGATCAGATATACCTCACTAATGGATGCTGCCTTGTGAATTTGGGGCCAAGGGCAGCAGGAAGTCAGCAGACCGAGAGCAGGGTAGGAAGATGGAGAGGGGCTGAAGGGAAGTGGGGGTGGGGGCAGGAAAACATGAGGCATGGAGGTGGGGTTGCTGTTTTCCTGCTATTAGGAGCAATTAATTGATGTAGTGCAAGAGAGACAGAGCGACTGCCAACAACAACATGGTATGGGGAGGGGTGTGTGTCTGTGTGTGTGTGTGTGTGTGTGTGTGTG